TTACACAGAAGGAAATGAGGCCCAGAGAGGGGCAGACACTTGCTCCAGGACTCCAGAAAAGCAACAGGGGCTGGGATTGGTCTCCTGATTCCCAGGCAGGGGCAGACAGCCAGGGGTCGGGGCTTGGTTCAGCATTCTCTGCTGCCTCTTACTGTGCTCAAAGGTCATTTTAGGGATGGCAGACTTTCTGGTTAGCCTGTTAAGATCCTGGGAGGGTGTGGGAAAGAGGAGTGGGGTGGGGAGGGAGGAGGGGCTTCAGGGGTTATCTCCAGTCAGAGATATTACAGGGCTGCAGAGTGGACCAGACCTGGTGGAGAATTAGGTGCTGCTGGGAGCTCCTGCCTTCCACAGCATCCCAGCTGCAGGGAGCCTCAGGGACTCTGGGCCGTGCAGAGTTGGGGGCATTCCCCAGACAGCATCGCCATGGCCTGGAGGGAGCAGTTATCAAAGAATCAGGTCAATTGGGTGTTTGCTGGCATTACCTGTGTGTCTGTGGTGGTCATTGCCACGACAGTCCTTGCCATCACCCTGCGGCGGCCAGGTAGGTGCCTCCCCCCATCCCATCCTAAGTGGCTTCCCGCATCGCTCACTCCTTATCCCCACTTCTGACTTACAGCTCTGACCAGCTTTCCATTTTTTTTTTGTTTTTGTTTTTGTTTTTGAGACGGAGTTTCGCTCTTGTTGCCCCAGGCTGGAGTGCAATGGCGCGATTCTCGGCTCATTCCAACCTCCACCTCCCGGGTTCAAGCGATTCTCCTGCCTCAGCCTCCCAAGTAGCTGGGATTACAGGCACGCCCAGCTAATTTTTTGTATTTTTAGTGGAGATGGGGTTTCACCATGTTGGCCAGGCTGGTCGTGAACTCCTGACCTCAGGTGATCCACCCACCTCAGCCTCTCAAAGTGCTGGGATTACAGGTGTGAGCCATCACGCCAGGCCAACCAGCTCTTCTTGAGCCCTCGTCCCTACCAAGCCTCATTCCCCACCCGCAGTTTTTTCTGTCTTCCATCCCCCAACCCTACGTGACTTCATCCCCAGCAGAAAGTCCTGTTGACTTCATCCCCAGCAGAAAGTCCCGTTAACTTTTTTTTTTTTTTTTTTTGAGACGGAGTTTTCACTCTTGTCCCCCAGGCTGGAGTGCAATGGTGCAATCTCAACTCACTGCAACCTCCGCCTCCCGGATCCAAGCGATTCTCCTGCCTCAGCACTGCAAGTGGCTGGGATCACAGGCGTGTGCAACCATACGGCTAATTTTTTTTTTTTTTTTTTTTTTTTTTTTTGAGACGGAGTCTCGCTCTGTCGCCCAGGCTGGAGTGCAGTGGGCATCTCGGCTATGCAGTCGCTCGGTTACGATTTTGTCGGGCTGTAAGGGCCCTGCGGTTTTTTCTTTTTGTGGGGTTTTTTGTTTGTTGGTCCCTCTTGCTTTGGTGGCAGGGGCTTTTTTTGGTTTTTTTTGTTTGTTTTTGAAATGGAGTCTCACTCTGTCGCCAGGCTGGAGTGCAGTGATGAGATCTCGGCTCACTGCAACCTCCACCTCCCAGGTTCAAGCGATTCTCCTGCTTCAGCCTCTCAAGTAGCTGGGATGACAGGCGTGCTCTGCCACACTCAGCTAATTTTTGTATTTTTAGTAGAGACAGGGTTTCACCATGTTGGCCAGGTTGGTCTTGATCTCTTGACCTCCTGATCTGCCCGTCTTGGCCTCCCAAAGTTCTGGCATTACAGGCATGAGCCACCATACCCGGTCCTTTTTTTCTTCTTTTTTTTTTGAGACAGAGTCTCACTCTGTCACCCAAGCTAGAGTGCAGTGGCATGATATCAGCTCACCGCAACCTCCACCTCCTGGGTTCAAGCGATTCTCCCGCCTCAGCCTCCCAAGTAGCTGGGATTACAGGTGGGCACCACCACACCAGACTAATTTTTTTTTATTTTCACTAGAGACAGGGTTTCGCCATGTTGGCCAAGCTGCTCAAACTGCTGACCTCAGGTGATCCGCCTGCCTCAGCCTCCCAAAGTGCTGGGACTATAGGCGTGAGCCACTGGGCTGGGCCAATTTTTTTTTTGGTATTTTTAGTAGAAACAGGATTTTACCATGTTGGCCAGGTTGGTCTCAAACTCCTGACCTCAGGTGATCTGCCTTCTTGGCCTCCCAAAGTGCTGGGATTACAGGCATGAGCCACTGTGCCTGGCCCCCTCTAACTTTTTTTTCTTCAGTTGCCTGAAGACCATCAGATCTTGGCTTTCAGCCCAGACCTTCCTCCTGTGCCCTTCTTAGGAGTCACACAAGCAACCTCAAACTCAGCAGGCTGGGCTGAGCTCATCTCTAAGCCCCAACAGATGCTCACCCCTGCAGCCTCTCAGTGAAGGGCTCCTCCGTTCACACAGGTACCTGGAGTAGCCACCATGCCCCCACCTCATGCCTGTGCTCCTCAGTCCTGAGCCTCGAGGGCTCTGCCTTTCCACCCTCTGTCCTCCATCCCTCCGGCCTTGCCCTCTGAGAAGCTTCAAAGTCTCCTCCTGGACCCCTCTTACAAGGTCCCTCTGCCTGCTTTTGTCAGCTCATATTAGCTCTGCAACCCAGATCTTTCCAAGCAACCCTCGCTTGCTGCCCTCAGCACACACCAACTCCTTTGCTAAAGTTCAAGGCCATTCACAACCTGATCCCAACCTTCTTCCAATCTTATAATTTTTTTTTTTTTGGGGACAGAGTCTTGCTCTGTCGCCCAGACTGGAGTGCAGTGGCATGATCTGGGCTCAATGCACCCTCCGCCTCCCAGGTTCAAGCAATTCTTTTGCCTCAGTCTCCCCAGTAGCTGGGATTACAGGCATGGACCACCATGCCCAGCTAATTTTTGTATTTTTAGTAGAGATGGGGTTTCACGATGTTGGCCAGGCTGATCGTGAACTCCTGAACTCAGGTGATCTGCCTGCCTCCGTCTCCCAAAGTGCTAGGATTACAGGCCTCAGCCACTGAGAAGAGTTGTTTGTTTGTTTGTTTGTTTGTTTGTTTGTTTGTTTTTGAGACAGTGCCTCACTCTGTCACCCAGGCTGGAGTGCAACCAGGCAGTGGCATGATCTCCGGCTCACTGCAACCTCTGTCTCCTAGGTTCAAGTGATTCTCTGCCTTGGCCTCCCCAGTAGTTGGGATTACAGGCACATGCCACCAAGCCCATCTAATTTTTGTATTTTTAGTAGAGATGGGGTTTCACCATTTTGCCCAGGCTAGTCTTGAACTCGGCCTCCCAAAGTGCTAGGATTACAGGTGTGAGCCACCAAACTCAGCCTTTTTTTTTTTTTTTTTTTTTTTTTTATTTGACAGTCTCTGTCATCCAGGCTGGAGTACAGTGGTGCGATTTTGGCTCACTGCAACCTCCACCTCCTGGGTTCAAGTGATTCTCCTGCCTCAGCCTCTCGAGTAGCTGGGATTACAGGCTCCTGCCACCACAGCCGTCCAGCTAATTTTTGTATGTGGTTACACCACATACAAAATGGTTTCACCGTGTTGGCCAGGCTGGTCTCCAACTCCTGACCTCAGGTGATCCACCTGCCTCAGCCTCCCAAAGTGCTGGGATTACAGGCGTGAGCCACCACCACGCCCGGCCCCCTCTTCCAATCTCTCCACATTCCACTTTTATGTTCCATCTCTACCAGGTCAATGGCTCTTCCTTCAGGCAACGGCACTCTCCTGAAGCCAAGCCTTTGCTTTCTCTCTGTCTGGAATAACCTATTCTTCCTTTTTTTTCTGTGAAATTTACACCCATCCTTCAAGTCTTCCTTAAGTGTTCCCTCCTCTGTGAACCTACCCCCCTTTCCTGACTGCCAGCCTGGTACTGAGGCCTCCATGGGCCCCAGGAGCCCGTTCATTTCCCTCTATTGCAGTACCAGTGAGTCTGAGCCTCACCGTCCCTCTGCCAGATGGGGTATTGGACACAGTGGGAGCCCAGGGAGGGTCATGGGATGAACAACATGAGTCTTGGGCTGGCATGAGGACAGACGCTAACAGCCCCTTGGGATTCCTTCCAGGCTGTGAGCTGGAGGCCTGCAGCCCCGATGCCGACATGCTGGACTACCTGCTGAGCCTGGGCCAGATCAGCCGCCGAGATGCCCTGGAGGTCACCTGGTACCACGCAGCCAACAGCAAGGAAGCCATGACAGCTGCCCTGAACAGTAAGTCCAGCTGCCAAGACTGAGGCAGGCCAGGGCAGGGGATGGAGAAGACAGGGGGAGAGAAGCGAGGATCAGCCACTGGTCACTGTGGTGACATGATGGCTGTTTACATGTGTCTCCACACAAGGAAATAGGGGCTCAGAGGGGTTAAGTGGCCGGCTCAAGGTTGTGCAGCTGACAAACTCTGAGTTTAGATTTAAACCACATGTCTGACTCCGAAGTCATGACTATACTGCCCTCTCTCCCAGCTACCCTTTCCTCGACCTGTCAGGGATCGACCTGTAAGGAAGCCTTTGCCTTCAAAGCCTCAAGAAGCCAGAAATCTGCACTTCAAAAATGGTTATAGTAACCAGTTGGCCAAGGCTCACGGTATGCACATTTCACACAGGTTCTCCTGGAACTACCATGCAACCTGTTTCATGGGTACCATTTCACAGGAGAAAAATAGAGTCTCAGAAAAGTTAGGTGAAGGCCGGGCGCGGTGGCTCAAGCCTGTAATCCCAGCACTTTGGGAGGCCGAGACGGGCAGATCATGAGGTCAGGAGATCGAGACCATCCTGGCTAACCCGGTGAAACCCCGTCTCTAGTAAAAAAATACAAAAAAAAAAATAGCTGGGCAAGGGGGCGAGTGTCTGTAGTCCCAGCTACTCGGGAGGCTGAGGCAGGAGAATGGCGTAAACCCGGGAGGCGGAGCTTGCAGTGAGCCGAGATCCGGCCACTGCACTCCAGGCTGGGCGACAGAGCGAGACTCCGTCTCAAAAAAAAAAAGTTAGGTGACTTAGCCAAGGTTACACTCTCTGAAAGCAGTTAAGCGAACATTGGAGCGCAGAGTGGTCAGCCCCAGAGTGCACACTCCAAGCCACTGACCCCCACCCCCTCCTTCAGGGCTGTTGGGAAGCTCAGTAGATAACGTTCATGAACGTGCTAGTGAACTTTAAAGCAGTAGCTATAAAAGATGAAGGGAACAGTCCTCAAACCAGGACACGTTTCAGAAGACACAGGCTGCTGGCCCCACCCCCAAGTGATGCTGAGGCTGCTGGTCCCGAGATCACACTTTGAGAATCACTGCTCAAGCAAACTCCTTCCATTTCAGACAAGGAAACTGGGGTCTGAGGGCTGGTAGAATGACCAAATCAACCAAAGCAGGGATCTTTTGAGGTCATTATTAATAATTATGCTGAAGCAACAGAAATACACCAGATGGCCCCTTATACTAGTTAAGCAAGCAACTCCATATAAATAATTAACACTTAGTAAATGCCTAACCAGGGATATTTTATTGTTTAATTCTTGTAGATGAGGAAACAGGCACAAAAAGGTCAAACAACCTTCCCAAGATCACACTGCTGGAAAGCGTTAGGGTGGGGACTGGAAGCCAGCAGTGTCAATTCACAGTCCGCACACAGCCACCATGCTCTCCTGCAGATGGGTAAAGCTGGCACGAGGAAGGCTAGTGACTGCATGTCCCCTTCCCTCCTGACTATGTGGCTCCCTGAGGACCAGGGCTGCTGCTATGGCCATAGGAAACCAATCCTTTCCTCTCATCTCTTGCTCCTTCTTCACTTCCCAGCCTCAAGCAAGTCAGCCCCCAGGTTCAGCCTCTGGAAGGCAAGTCACAACGTTTAAGGTGAAGAGAGTGTTTGTTTGTTTGTTTGTTTGTTTGTTTGTTTGTTTTGAGACAGGATCTCTCTCTGTCATCTAGGCTGGAGTGCAGTGGCATGATATTCACTCACTGCAACCTCCGCCTCCCAGGTTCAAGTGATTCTTCCTGCCTCAGCCTCCCAAGTAGATGGGATTACAGGAGCCCACCACCACGACTGGCTAATCTTTGTATTTTTAGTAGAGACAGGGTTTCACCATGTTGACCAGGATAGTCTTGAACTCCTAACCTCAAGTGATCTGTCCACCTCAGACTCCCAAAGTGCTGGGATTACAGGGGTGAGCCATCACACCCGGCTGAGGAAGTTTTTTTTTGAAGCCAACACTAAAGGATGAGCAGGAGGTGCCGCAGTAAAGTTGAGAGAAGAGTGTTGCCAGGCAACAGCCCAGAGATGGGGAGGACAAAACAAATTAAAGCCTTGCTACCCAACATGTGGTCCGTGGACCAGCAGCACGCGCACCCCTGGGGAGTATGTTAAAAAGGCAGAATCTTGGGCTCATGCCTGTAATTCCAGCACTTTGGGAGGCTGAGGCGGGTGGATCACATGAGGTCAGGAGTTCGAGAACAGCCTGACTGATATGGCAAAACCGCATCTCCGCTAAAAGTACAAAAATTAGCCGTGCATGATGGTGGTGCATACCTGTAGTCCCAGCTACTCAGGAGGCTGAGATAGGAGAATCGCTTGAACCCAGCAGGCAGAGGTTGCAGTGAGCTGTGATCGTGCCACTGCACTCCAGCCTGGGCAACAGAGTGAGACTTCATCTAAAAAAAAAAAAAAGAAGGCCAGGCACAGTGGCTCACGCCTGTAATCCCAGCACTTTGGGAGGCCAAGGCCGGCAGATCACGATGTCAGGAGATTGAAACCATCCTGGCCAACATGGTGAAACCCTGTCTCTACTAAAACACAAAAAATTAGCCAGGCGTGGTGGTGGGCGCCTGTAGTCCCGGCTACTTGGGAGGCTGAGGCAGGAGAACGGCGTGAACCCGGAAGGCAGAGGTTGCAGTGAACCCAGATCGTGCCACTGCACTCCAGCCTGGGCGACAGAGCAAGACTCCATCTCAAAAAAAAGAAAGCCGGGCACAGTGGCTCATGCCTGTAATCCCAGCACTTTGGGAGGCCAAGGCGGGTGGATCACGAGGTCAGGAAATCAAGACTATCCTGGCTAACATGGTGAAATCTCGTCTCTACTAAAAATACAAAAAAATTAGCCGGGCGTGGTGGCGGGTGCCTGTAGTCCCAGCTACTCGGGAGGCTGAGGTAGGAGAATGGCGTGAACCCGGTAGGCAGAGCTTGCAGTGAGCCGAGATTGCAACACTGCACTCCAGCCTGGGCGACAGAGCGAGACTCCGTCTCAAAAAAAAAGACAAAGCAGAATCTCAGGCTGTGCCGCAGACCTAGTGATCAGAACATGCATTTTTACAGTCGCTGGGGGATGTATGTGCACATTAAAGTTGGAGAAGCTGGGTGCCTGGAACTCAGAGAATGAAGGAGAGTGGAACGTGAGATGAAATTGGAAAATCCGGCAGGCCCTGATTGTACAGACCTCAAAGACTATAGTAAAGAGTTTGGGCTTCATGTTCAGAGCAATGGGGAGGTTTTCTGGCCTTTTGTAACAGGAAGTGACATGATCAGGTACATGTTTAGGACACTCACTCTGGTGGCTCTGTAGAGAATAGACTTGCAGGGAAGCAGTGCTAGAGGTGAGAAGAATGGTCAGGAGTCGGGGAGAAAGCAGGAGAAAAGGCCCCTTCTGGCATCAGTTGTCTGTAATGCCGCAAGGGCCAAAAGCGACCCCTCTCCCCTCCACTACACTCTTCAAGTGTGAGTGCCCCTTGCATGGTTTTCTAGAGACTGCTTCCCATTAGAAAGGTCTGCGCTCCCTACAAGACTGAATTCTCGAAGGCAGGAGTCAGATGTCCGCCCGATTGAGTTAACTGTGTGAAGCTAAAGGATAATTCTGTGTTGGTGATGATGTGCTGAGATGGGCAGCCTTGTGTACTACAGGCGAGGACAGGAATCAGAACAACTTTTCTGGAAAATAGTTTGATAACATGAGCTTTAAAAATGACCCCGTGGGCTGGGCACTGAGGCTCACACCTGTAATCTCAATACTTTGGGAGGCCAAAGTGGGAGGATTGCTTGAGCCCAGGAGTTCAAGACCAGACAGGGCAACACAGCAAGACTAATAGCAAAAATCAGAAACTACCAAAGCATCTCAGGAATGGGGGATGATCAGCTACATGGTAGTGAACACCATCAACCAGGGCTTTTGAAGCTTTTTGTTTCTTTGCCTTGTTTGCTCCAATGAGATGTATAAAAAAAGATCTGGAAATGTGTGATAATGTTGGAAAAAAACATCAAAAAATTATAAATGCAGTGGAATCTCAACTGTGTAAAAACTATGCATAGGGCCGGGAGCAGTGGCTCACACCTGTAATCCCAGCACTTTGGGAGGCTGAGGTGGGCAGATCATTTGAGGTCAGGAGTTCTGAGAGCAGCCTGGCCAATACGGTAAAACCCCGTCTCCACTAAAAATACAAAAATTAGCCAGGCGTGGTGGCACACCCCTATTGGGAGGCTGAGGCAGAAGAATTTCAAGAACTATTTGAAACTGGGAGGTGGAGGTTGTAGTGAGCCAAGATCGCACCACTGCACTCCAGCCTGGGCGATAGAGCAAGACTCTGTATCCAAAAAAACCTATGCATAGAAAAAAATGGAAGGAAAATCCATCAGAATGTGAAACTATGATGGAAGTGTGGGTGAATATTTTTCTCTTCTTCTGCTTTTCTGTATTTCTCAGATGTTCTGTAATTTGTAATGCTTTCATGATGAGAAAAAAAGTTTTCTTTTTTTAAAAAAAGGAACTGAGTTTTTGCCTCTTCCACAGGCAACATCACGGTCCTGGAGGCTGACGTCAATGTAGAAGGGCTCGGCACAGCCAATGAGACAGGAGTTCCCATCATGGCACACCCCCCGGCTATCTACAGCGACAATACACTGGAGCAGTGGCTGGATGCTGTGCTGGGCTCTTCCCAAAAGGGTAAGGGTCTCTCTGGAAACCCTCCCCGGCCCCCAGCCCTCTGGCCCTGGGGCAGCATGTGCAGAGATCCCTCCCTGGGAAGCAAGTCCAGCCCTGACACGAGGTGCTCACTGCCTTGGCTTTCTCATCACAATGTTACAGATGCCCAGGCTCAGTGAGGACTAGGCGAGATGGGGAGCGTGTCAGTGCAGGTCCTGGTGTTCTCTCCTGGACACACAGGGGAGACAGCGGGCAGTACAGTGTGAACTGCAAAGTGTCACGCATGCTCAGAGTGCTTCCCCCTGTATCCACAGAACTGGACATAACATGTTCAAAGCCCAGCCCCACCCTTCCCCTCTGCGCCCCTTCACCAGTCACAGTCAGAATCCAGGCGTCACCATAATGCCTCCCTCTCCCTCATCCTCACGGCCACTCAATTGCTGCATCCACCAATCCTAACCCCTAACCCTGCCCCCATCTAGTCACAGCCACATTGTATCTCTCCAGGACCTCCCTCCTCATCGGCTTCCTGCCCCAAATTCAGCCCCTCCAGGCTTCCCTTGACTACCATGACCACACACACACACCTGAGGGATCTTTTCAAAACACCACTTTTGTCACGCCACACCTCTGTTTTAACCCTCCATGGCTCCCCATTGTCCTCAGGAAAAAGTATGATCTTGGCCTAGCTTTCAACATCCCTCTCTATCTTCCCAGCCTCATCTCCTCACCACCCTGAAAAGTACCGGGTCCTTCCTCTGCAGAGATTTCCTCCTCTACTCAAATGCACCTTCCCGGACGCTGCGTGACCTCCCTACAGGCTCTGGTGGTTTAGGACCCTCCGAGTCTACCCTGCTCAGGAACCACAGCCCCTTTTCAGCAGCTGCAGCAGCCACAAGCCCAGGTCCCTACCCGGCCTCTGTTTCCTCCCCGCAGGAGATGGGAATTCCTCTAGAGGCAGGCCCTTCTTCTCTGAGTTAGCTCTGTCTCTTCGAAAGGCCTTCCCCACACCCTGCAGGGATGTGGTGCTTGTCCTTCCACCCTCCCCTGACTCCACAGCGCGCGCGCACACACACACACACACACACACACACACACACACACACACACACACACACCCTCTCTGCTCTCTGCCCAGGGAGTCACATCTTCCTGGTTCCTTCGCCAGTTCCCCAAGCCCTTGTCCCTTTCATCACAGGCATCAAACTGGACTTCAAGAACATCAAGGCCGTGGGCCCCTCCCTGGACCTCCTGCGGCGGCTGACAGAGGAAGGCAAAGTCCGGCGGCCCGTGTGGATCAACGCTGACATCTTAAAGGGCCCCAACATGCTCATCTCAACTGAGGTCAATGCCACACAGTGAGTGTTTGCTTCTCTGTCCCAGCTGTGTCCAGCCCTCTTCTGTCAACACCTACCACGGATGGGGAGCTTAGCGGACCTCTGAGTTTGTCTCCAGTCATACTATATATAGCTTGACTCCTTCCCCAGGCCTCATGAATTCCAGCACCGCTGCTCACAGCACTCACATACAGTAGTTGCACAGTGCTCTACAGTTTACAAAGAGACCACATAAAAGAAGAGAATGTCTTTGATCTGATTCTTACATAGCACTGCCAGGTTAAGGCTTTCTCCCCATTTTGCAGATAATAAAGCTAACAATAGTGGAAGCTCAATTCGTTCAATGTATATTATGTGTCCCAGAAGCGTTTTAAGCACTTGACTCGCAGAACACCATTTAACTCTTACGAGAATGAGGTAGGTACTATTATTTCCATTTTATTAATGCAAGAACTATATATAGAAGTTAAAAGACCTGCCTAAGTCTAGGAAGTGGCAGAGCAAAGATTCAAACCCAGGCCTTTCTGATTCTAAGCTCCAGGCTCTTTCCCATCCATCTCTTCTTCCATCCATCCAACCAGCCAGCAATCCATCCATCTAGTATTTATTATTGCGCTTCTCAAGCTGAAGTGCCTTCCCAAAGTAGCAGTTTGGAAAATGTAATCAATGACCCAAGATAAATATGACCTGTCTTCTTGGAGTGCTAATTTTACTCAGTAGGTTTTTTTTGGTGGGCAGTGGGTGGCAACATAATTTGCCTATTAAAATTTGCATCTTTTGAAGAAGAAAAGTACAAAGAAAAAATTAAAATATTTTCATCAAGGCAAAGTTCAAATACAATTTTAGGCTGGGCACAGTGGCTCACACCTATAATCTTAGTACTCTGGGAGGCCAAAGTGAGCGGATCCCTTGAGCTCAGGAGTTTGAGACCAGCCTGGGCAACACAGTGAGACCCCATATAGAAAGCAAAGAGAGAAATATATGAAGGGAAGAAAAGAAGGAAGGGAGGAAGGAAAGCAGGAAGGCAGGAACTTTTTTTTTTTTTTGAGACAGAGTCTCACTCTGTTGCCCAGGTTGGAAGGCAATGGTGCGCTCTCAGCTCACCACAACCTCCGCTTCCTGGGTTCAAGCGATTTTCCTGCCTCAGCCTCCCGAGTAGCTGGGATTATAGCCATGCACCACCACGTCCAGCGAATTTTGTACTTTTAGCAGAGATGGGATTTCTCCATGTTGGTCAGGCTGCTCTCGAACTCCCTACCTCAGATGATCCACCCGCCTCAGCCTCCCAAAGTGCTGGGATTACAGGCGTGAGCCACCGCGCCCAGCAGGAGGGAAATTTTTAAAGAAAACCTGAGAAACTTCAGAGACTCCCAGCTGGCAGAGCTCAGATTCCCACAGGCTGGGGCTCTGAGTCAGTTTCCTGTCTATATGTGGATGTTTAAGAAGCCGGCCCTGCTAGAAGGGATGCTGTCTATGAGGTTGAGTTACCTGCCCAAGATCAGAATCAGGATCTGAACCCAGACTTCCCTGACTCCAAAGTCCACGCCCAATTTATGGGACCTGAAACAAGCCATTCTGTTCTTTGGGACTCTGCTTCTGACCTTATCATAGATCCAATAGGCCCTGCCACTCCCTAACACTGTGATGAGAGCCCAGAGGAGAGTAAGGGGCCGCCGCAGCTCCGTGATACCAACGTCTCTGATTTTTTTTTGCAGGTTCCTGGCCCTGGTCCAGGAGAAGTATCCCAAGGCTACCCTGTCTCCAGGCTGGACCACCTTCTACATGTCCACATTCCCAAACAGGACCTACACCCGAGCCATGGTGGAGAAGATGCACGAGCTGGTGGGAGTGGTACCCCAGAGGGTCACCTTCCCTGTGCGGTCTTCCATGGTGCAGGCCGCCTGGCCCCACTTCAGCTGGCTGCTGAGCCAATCTGAAAGGTGAAAACCACCAACCCACCCCCACCCTCCTGGAGGCACTGATACCCCCAGCAAGATCCCAGAAGCTCAGCTCATAGCTGGAAGGGTCTTAACGGTCATTTCGTCCAACCCCTGCTGGTGCTCATACCGTCTACAGAGTCCCTGCTTTCTGCTTGCATACCTCTGGTGACGGGCTACTCACTACCTCCTGCAGGAGGCTTTTCATTGGTGGGTAATTCTCTGCCCTCTGGAAAATATTTATACCAAGACACAATTTGTCTCCCCACAGCTTCCTCCAGTAGGAGCCAGCTGTACCCCTGGGGCTACACAGATTGTGCCTTCAACCCCTGCCCTAGGATAGCCCTACAAGAATTTAGAGACTTCTCTGCCCCCACTACTCCCCCCTACCTTCCACAGTACTCCCAAATCTGCCCCCTCCCCCTCTTGATGCCTGATCTACCCTTCCACACCCTGCCCCATCTGTCCTGCCCCTTTCCTAAGACAGGACTCAGAAATAGACACTGCAAATGAGGAGGCAGGACAGGCTCCCCCTCCCTCCTGGGCCTCTGCTTTCTGTCATCTTTCCTGAATTCCTTCTGGCTCCTGCCCTTGGGAAGGGGTAGGACTCAGGGAGAAGCGGCGGGTGGGCGACTGGAGGACAGATGCTCTACCCTGGGCCCAGCTGACATCCAGTTCTGAGCACAGGAGCGGGGCTGAGGGTCTGCTGGGCTCAGACAGGCACTGAGTCAGCTCTCGTGGCCCCAGGTACAGCCTGACACTGTGGCAGGCTGCCTCGGACCCCATGTCGGTGGAGGATCTGCTCTACGTCCGGGATAACACTGCTGTCCACCAAGTCTACTATGATATCTTTGAGCCTCTCCTGTCACAGTTCAAGCAGCTGGCCTGTAAGGAGAGAAACTGGGAAGGGCGGTGCGGGCTGGATTCGGCATGGGGCAGCACTTGGTGGGCACTAGAGCAGAGCTGGGCAGAAGGGATATCGAAGGGGGAAGGCCAGGATGGGACAGGAGGCAGCTGCATTTTGTGTGCCAGGCCCTGGGATGGTATGCTAAGCTTCAAACATACATTTTATTTTTATTTATATATTTTTTCGAGACATAGTCTGGCTCTGTCACCCAGGCTGGAGTGCAGCGGTTCAATCTCAGCTCCCTGCAACCTCCGCCTCCCGGGTTCAAGTGATTCTCCTGCACCACCACACCCGGCTAAATTTGTATTTTTAATAGAGACAGGGTTTCACCATGTTGGGCCAGGATGGTCTTGAACTTCTGCCCTCAGGTGATCCACCTGCCTTGGCCTCCCAAAGTGCTGGGATTACAGGCGTGAGCCACCTGCCTGACCCACACATTCATTTTATAGAGAAACTGAGGGATTCCATTTTATAGAGAAACAGCGGCTCAATACAGTCACTCAGCTTGTATGTGGCCCAGCAGACAGGAAACCAGCAAATTCCAAACCCCCCATTATTTCCCTTGGTGCACAGCTCCACTGTGGGTTACTCTAATGCTTCAGAGGCCTCCACTGTATTTGCTAAACAGTGATCAGATGCCACCGTCCAAACCCCTCATTCCCTTGTCCCCGAACCCAGAAGAGCCGCAGTTAAGCCATCTCAAAGGGGCCCCACAAGACTCTGCATTCCTGCCATGGAAGCCACCTAAGCGAGGGGGAAGGATACCAGCTCTGGGGCCAGGCAGACCTGGCCCCATCAGGTTCCACTCCCAGCAACTTTGCTTACTGCTTATAAGACCTTGGGCAAGTCACTTCTTCTAGTCTACAAAACAAGGAAAGGATAGCTACTTGGCAGGGTGCCATGAGGTTTAGAGAGGATGCCTGTAGAGCTGTGACCTATAGAAGGTGTTCCATGAATGGCAGCCACTTCACTTTGGCAATTTGGGGCCCCACAGTGAATGCCACACGGAAACCAATGTACTACACGGGAGGCAGCCTGATCCCTCTTCTTCAGCTGCCTGGGGATGATGGTCTGAATGTGGAGTGGCTGGTTCCTGACGTCCAGGGCAGTGGTCAAACAGCAACAATGACCCTCCCAGGTAAGGAGCACCTTCAACCCTGGTGCTCCTAGCTCATCTGCAGGGGTGTCCTTTGCTTGGGGCAGGTAATGCCAGTCTCTGTTGCCATGACAACACGGGTTTATTTACACCATACCCTGGATGCAAGGTGGGGCAGGGTTGCGGGAGAGGGCGAGGGACTACAGTGATGTCAAGAGCACAGGGCTCCTGGCCTTCAGACCAGTCCTCAGCCACAGTGCTACGGGCAAGGCCGGCACCAGCCCCCAGACTGAGTCATGGGTAAAGGCCAAGAGCTGAAGCAAGAGTTTCTCACGCACCAGGCACATTTATAAAGCAACCCATCCACCTGGAGCCCAAAAATGGGTTGACAGATTCCAGAAAGGCAAGATCCTTGATGACTCCATAACTCCCACTGCCCCTTTAACAAGGGACTCTAAAACCTATGATAACCCAAATCCTAAACCCTGTTGCCCCTGCCGCCTCTTCCAGACACAGAAGGCATGATCCTGCTGAACACTGGCCTCGAGGGAACTGTGGCTGAAAACCCCGTGCCCATTGTTCATGCTCCAAGTGGCAGCATCCTGACGCTGGAGTCCTGCCTGCAACAGCTGGCCACACGTCCCGGACACTGGGGCATCCATTTGCAAATAGCAGAGCCCACAGCCCTCCGGCCGTCCCTGGCCTTGCTGGCACACCTCTCCAGCCTTGGCCTCTTGCATTGGCCTGTGTGGGTTGGGGCCAAAATCTCCCACGGGAGTTTTTCGGTCCCTGGCCATGTGGCTGGCAGAGAGCTGCTTACAGCTGTGGCTGAGGTCTTCCCCCATGTGACTGTGGCACCAGGCTGGCCTGAGGAGGTGCTGGGCAGTGGCTACAGAGAACATCTGCTCACAGATATGCTAGAGCTGTGCCAGGGGCTTTGGCAACCTGTGTCCTTCCAGATGCAGGCCATACTGCTGGGCCACAGCACAGCTGGAGCCATAGCCAGGCTGCTGGCATCCTCCCCCCGGGCCACCGTCACAGTGGAGCACAGCCCAGAGGGGGGCGACTATGCCTCTGTGAGGACAGCGCTGCTGGCAGCCAGGGCTGTGGATAGGACCCGAGTCTACTACAGGCTGCCCCAGGGGCACCGCAAGGACTTGCTGGCCGATGTTGGCAGAAACTGAGCACCCCGGGGTGGTGGCCCAGCGGGCTCCAGGGCGGAGGCTTCCCACGGGGAGGCAGGAAGAAATAAAGGCCTTTGGCTTTCTCCAGGCACTGTATGTGAGTCCTTGGGGGCAGGATGGAGTGGGAGTGGGCATGATGTGGCCACTGAGGGCATCTAGAGGGTCTGGAGGCTGGGGGCCAGATCATTCCGGTTGTCCAAGAGAAACTGCTCGCAAGCCTTGAAGGTGGTGTAGAACTCAGAGGAGAGGCCGGCCACATTGGTAGTCACATAGTTGAGAACACCTGGGGTAGCCTGGTTGTAGTAGGACACCTGCAGGGTGGGAAGCCAGGCTCAGGGGGACCGAGCTAGGGGAGGGTACTGGGAAGGGGTGGGAGCCCAGTGGGCACAGGCTGGTGGTGAGTCAGCCTTGCTTGTCTTCTGGGAGGGCAGAAAATTCAACCCAACTCCCCAGGGTCTTAGATTACACAGTTGGCCAGCATGGCTTCCTCCAGCTGATCTCCCCCAACCCTTCCGGGGGCGCTGACAACCCTGGCTTCCCACCACCACACACGACATTGTCATTGTGCATCTTCCCCACCAGCCAGAGGCCCTGGAGGGCAGCGGCTGTGTCTCCAGGGCCCAGCTCTGAATCTTGGCCATAGAGACACGTTAGACATTAGCCCAGGGATGGTTCTGAGGCGCTCATGGGTTCAAGCATATGAATTCAGCAAACACCAGCTGAGTCTCTGCTGGGTGAGTCTCAGGGCCCGGCGGCAGGGCCCTAATAGAAGCTGTGAGTGGGGAGGCTGCAGTACCCCACCCTCACTTTCCCTCAGCCTCCTGCCCATCAACACAGACTGCACTGCTGGGTTTTATGGGCCCTCAGAGCCCATATAAAGCCTTCCTAGATGAGAAGGGCTATCCAAGGGAATGACGAGTGAGATGGAATTTCAGTTCAGAAACCAGGCCTTCTGACTTCAGCACCCAGAGCTTTTTCCAAGACCATGCAGCAGCCTCTGACTTACCTCTACACAGATGAGATCATTTTCAGCCCCTGACACTCCAGGCTCCCCCAGGCTGGAAGGGGGAGCCTGCTGGGGGCCCAGCTCTGGGACTATCCTAGCCCAGCAGTGCTAAGCTCAATATACGTGTGGTGTTGGGGTGGAGCCAGGCTGGGGGCGTGGTGAGGGGGACCGGCCTCACCTTGGTCAGCTGGTCCCCCTCGCGCCAGAAGCAGAAGCCTGAGCAGAGGGTCTCTCCGCGTCTGTACTCTGGCGTCTCTCGGTGTGTGGGCAGCGTGACCGACCTCAGCGCGATGACATAGGGGTCCCTGAGTGAAGGAAGGGTAGCAAGGGGACAGGGGTCAGCCACAGAAGAAAGTGGGGGCCTGTTCCGCCCAACCAAAGCCCAGACCCTGCCCCCTCTGGCACAGATTCCTCACCAGGGGATGCAAGGCACATCGACTCTTAAAGCCCCGATGCGGGGCTCAGGGCCAGGCTGGAGGGAGGAGGCACCTGTGGGTTAGCACCAAATTCACCAGGAGCCAACCTGCCTCCACGGTGGACTTTCTGGAAAAGTCACTCTACTCCAACGCTCAGGGGAAGACTCGTGGGCTTTGGGATTTTTTTTCTGTCCCTGTCTCTCCAGCAAAAGAGATGTTTAGGCCCTCCAGCCCACACAGGGCTGTTAGAGGGAGGAGGCCAAGGACGTGGCCACCCGAGAAATATCCTGTCCAAGGCCTGCATCGAGGCAGCCTGAGCCACCCTGGGCAAGGGCAGCCCTGCTGTAGGGAATGTGACAAGAAGGGAAGCGTGTGCCCCTGTCCCCCATTTTACCCATGGTAAAGCCACAGCAGCCCAGAAAAGTCTAGTGGTGCCTGGGGCCCCACAGCCAATGGGAAGCAGAGCTCTGGCTCCAGGTTGATGGCCTTCCCTGGGAGGGAGATGCGGCCACCCTACCACTCCATCCAGTTGTGTCTCCCACCCCACAGCAGATAGGCACACACCCATTGTCACAAGGCTTCCGCCTCGAGGCCAGGATCACGAAGTCCTGTGGCTTTGTGTGACCTCCAAGGGCAGGGCTGGTGACGTGGTAGATGGCATCGTCCTCGTCCACCTGCTGCACTAGCTCCACGCTCCTGTGGGGAGGTCGGGATCTCAGGGCCCCAGGAAGCTTCCAGCTCCCATGCAGGCAGCCGGTCTGCCCAGGCCCTGCCACAGTGCAGCGCCTGAGCAGCTTCTGTGGTGGGATGTCACCCCCCGTACTGCTCAGCAGGGACCAGCAGGAAGGCAGCAAGGCCCAGTCAAGATGGACACACATGTGCGTGTGTACACACAGGCACACATAGATGTGCATGCAAGTAAATGAACACATACACACAGACACGGGAACAAAGATGTGCACATACATGAACACACGTGGTCATATGTGCACAGGCACATGGACAGACACCAGTATACAGAGAGACCCACGTGTGTCTGTACATGTCTGCGCAGGTACAGACACCACAAGGATGTGTGATGATTTAGCAGTTGTTCTTAATATTTACTGAGCGCCCACTGAGTGCCAGGTGCTGTTCTAAGTGCTTTACATGTGTTGCTTAATCTCCATAACAGCCCCATGCTGTAGACACTTTTAGTGTTCCCATCTCATAGATGAGGAAGATAACCTGCCCACGGCCACAGAGCTAATAAGGAAGCAGGGCTGGGGTGTGTTCAGGCTATCAGGTGGCAGAGATGTATCCCCAGGCCCAGGCACCTGACACATACATGCATGGGCATATACAGGTTCATATCTACACGTGCATCCACACAAGGACACCCACACAGAGGCAGACATGGCCATGTCCAGACCCACCTCTTCCTCCCCAATCCCCTGCCCGTACTCAGCAGTAGGCAGGGTATGGGGAAGAAACTAGGGGCTCTCTTTCCCCTCAGGCCACTCCCCCACAAATCCGATCAAGTATCAAGATTTGGTCTGGCCTTCAAGGCCCACCCCAGCCTCCCTCTAAGAAGCCCACCTATCACATGTACAACCGCCCTCCCCCTACACAACACCCACCACCACATCACCTCTCTGCCTTCTGGAAGGGGACAACCAGCAGGCCTGAGTCAGCTGGGCCAGGGATTTTTAAGGCAACATGGCCCTTTTTGCAAAGAAACCTTCAGCAGGAAGCCCGTGTATAAAGAGCTACAAGCCTGCTCGGGAGAAGACAGATGGGGTAGGAAGGGGAAGGCCAGTTTGTCAAAATACAATTCGCCAAACGACCGGCACACTGAGTTTCCAAACACACAGAACCTCCTTATGGAAATCCTCCAGAATGTAGGCTCCTCATAACAAGCGATTATCAAATAACCCCCCAAGCCAGGGTGTTGGCAGAATAGAAAATGACTTTAAGGGGACTTGAAAAACACAAATTTTGCTATTTTCCTAAGAACATATTTATCTTCCTTGACTAAATTCGAGAAGATAGTCAGCCGAACAATTAACAAATTTGGAGGAACAAATGTATGTAAAGGAATAATATATTTCTATTCATAATCATTCATTATATTCAAAAATAACATATTTGTGAGGAAAATCAGCAAACTTAGTAAGTTCAGCAAACTGGCCATGCTATATCCCACTCACCCTTCAGCCTTCTGACTCCACCCCAAGCAGTTCTGGAAGCCCCTTTGGAAACACAGAACTCCAGAGCACATGGTTTGAAAATCAGTATCTCTCAGTGTGAATCCATGACCCACTCTTCTTAAAAAGCATGCGTTTTAAGAAGAGAGAAACTGAAGCCAGAAAGGAAGTGACTTTGACTTATCCAGCATCACACAGCTGGTTGGGACAGAAGCAGGACTTCAACTCAAGCCTCCAGCTCCAATTCCATGCTCAGTCTCTTCCCTAAGGGCTCAAAATACCCACGACCCTGACCCCCCACCCAACGTGGAACTCCAACCCACTGCCAGCCCCTGCTAATGGCCAGCAGGGCAGAGCATCATGGAGGATGACCTGCAGAAGGAGACACCCTCTCCCTCATCAGGCTGGAGAAGGGACACTGCCCTGCCCTCACCCTGGCCCCTCACCGGTAGTGCTTGTCCCACTCTGGCCTCCGACGCAGGTCCGAGAGCAGCAGGAAGGCCTGGGCTGCATCCACATGCACGACCATCTCCATGTGGAAGGAGAGGAACTTGTCATCCTCCAGAGTGTACAGGCGGACCTGCATGGGACACAGGGCAGCCTCATTTGCTGGGTGGTGGAGTGGACTGATGGGGATGCTGGAGGCTGAGGCTGGAAGCTCAGGGCTATGGCTGACTTGCTGTGTGACTGTGAATACACAGCTCAGCCTCTCTGAGTCTCAGCTGCATCCCCATGAATTCAGCACATTTGTGCTGAGAATCCAAGCCCTAGCGTCACAGGCAGGAGGCGGCTTGTCCAAGGGCACAGGCAGCTGGCAGAGCTTAGGTCTCCTGTAAGCCCGTGCCTGTTGGCTGCCCCCATCCCTGCAGCGATCACTGCAGAAGAACAGAGAGGAAGTGCCTGGTCAGACAGGAGCAGACCTGAGTGGCTGAGAACAGGAAGTGGGGCAGGCAGGAGAGAAGGATCTAGGGGTTCTCAACTCCAGGCCCTGCAGAGGTGGGTACGTTTCCATAACTGGACTGGTTTCTTGATCTCACCCAATTCTTTGAAGAGATCCTTTTTTGACATAAGTGGTATAGGAGAGTTCTTGTTGCTTGCCATCAGCCACCTCTGGTTCAGAGGAGAAAGGAAAATTGGGTGGGTGGGGTCAGCTACCTGATTGATCTCCGAGGACAGCACCCAGTTGTCCTTGGCCACGAGCATCCTCAGGGAGGAGACGTTATTGTAGCTCAGGTATACCTGGAGGAGCACACAGGTGCTACCACTACCATGCCCCCTTCCTCCAAGGCCCCTGAGCCGAGGCCAAGGGTGTGCCAGAGAGGAACCTGGACCATGAATGGGGGGCATGGGGGGCAGTGCTGAGGAAAGAGTCCTGGACTTTGGGAAGGGAGGTCCAGTCCTGGGCTTGGCTAGACCCACTGTGTGACCCTGGACAAGCTGCTCTGCCTCTCAAGGTCTCCGCTTCCACCTGCCAAATATGGACACAGGCAAGCTCTTTGCTAACGGTAGCAACCATGAGGTGTGTCATTCATATTCTGTTCTCCCCGGCCTTCCCCCAAACCCGTTCTGACAGGCAGGGAAGGGTGGGGGCCCCAGTGGGTCTGAAGACTGTTCCCTTGGAGCAGAGGGCCTTACCTGGTTGCTAGGGTCCCAGGGGACGGAGAGGGGCACCTCTGTCTGCTTACAGGACACAATGTACTTCCTGGGAAGAAGGGAAGATGACAACCTGGGTCCCCTGGACATCCAGCACTTTCCACAGACTCTACTGCAGGCCTACTGTGTGCTAGGCCCTGTGCTGAGCCTGACAGAGGGGGAGACTCCTGTCTGTCTAGGGAGGCTGGATGGTCACACAGGACACAGCAGCTGAGAGCACACCAGCTCGGCTCCTACACCAGGGAAAGCTCGGAGGCGGGAGCGAGCCAGCAAGGAAGGGTGTGGCGTCTAAGGCTCGGTCCCCACACCCCACATCCTGGCTGACTGACCTCACCCTAATGCTGCTGTGTCCTCATCTGTGAAATGGGATCAGCAGTCACCCCTGCCTCAGGGGTCATCACAAGGAGAATAGTGCCTGGCACACAGTAGATGCTCAGTAAATGCTATAGATGCACGCTTTCTTATTAACAACAGCTTGTGATCACTGGTGTGCTTATAGCCTCCAAAGTCCGTAAATGCTTTCACAGCAGAGTGAGACACACCTGGATTGATTGACTGATTAATTGATTGATTGATTGATTGATTGATTGATTTTGAGACGGAGTCTTGCTCTGTTGCCCAGGCTGGAGTGCAATGGCACAATCTCGGCTCACTACAACCTCCACCTCCTGGTTCAAGCGATTATCTTATCTCAGCCTCAGCCTCCTGACTATAGGTGCACTGGGACTACATGCGCCCACCACCATGCCCAGCTAATTTTTGTATTTTTAGTAGACACGGGGTTTTGCCATGTTGGCCAGGCTGGTCTCGAACTCCTGACCTCAGAGGATCTGCCTGCCTCAGCCTCCCAAAGTGGCTGTACCTCTTGAACAACAGCATCTCCTCTCTGAATGTTTCTTCATCTGCCAAGTGGGCATCAGAATCAATGGGAAGAACACAGGATTTAAAATCGGCAGGTTCAAATTCTGACTCTGCTGATGCTATTTGTGTGTCCCTGGGCAAGCCACCTAACCCCTCTGTCCCCAGCATCCTCGCCTGTACAACAGGCCAGAAGATAGCTGTGTAATGAGACCGAAACGAGAGGATGAAAAGGGCCTGGCCCAGGGCCCAGCGCACAGGCAGCTCTGAAGAAAAGCGAGCACCCTGGGGTCAGTGGAGCGTTCTGCCCACTACTCAGCCCCTGCTCACCTGTCTAGGCGGATCTTCTTTCTGGCACTGGCCTCTCGGTACCGCCGCTCGCCATCCTGGGGAAGAAGTCGGGATAGGCTGTGCTGTGAGAGGAGTAACCAGCTACCCCAACCCTCTGTCCTGTCCCCTCTCCATCCCCCAGGGCCCAAGGAGATCCTGCAGCCCTAACGTGGAGTTCAGGTGTCACTGGGGCAGCTGGAATCAAAACCTCCTGGCCAGGAAAGTGGGAAACTAAGCTGTAGCCCCAGCTCCCCTCAAACTCTGATTGACCTGGGAACACCATCTCCCCTGGCCAGACCTCAGTTTCCTCCTCTGTAAAATGGGGATCCTTACAGGCCCCTTACAATGGTAATGACAGTCCACATTTATTGAGCACTTGCTACACACCAGCCACTCTTTTCAAGGCCTTTCCATGCGGAATTGCACCAAATCCCTAAAACAACCCTCCGAGGCTGGGGCTAGTGCTGTGTCCATTCTACAGAGGAGGAACCTGAGACAACGAAGGGTGAGGGCTTGCCAAGGCCACAGGGGTAAGGGCCGAGGCCAGGATCAGCACCCCAGTGGCCTGCCTCAAGCCCACCCTCTTTACCACCACATCTAACGCCCCCCAGTCCCAAGCACGACACAGAAAATGCCTGGGAAGCGGCTGTGGCTGTGACCCCCAGCTCCCGATCCCGAGGCTCTGCCCAACTCCACAGCTCACACTAGGCTCTGGAAGGCAGGGGACCTCCCCCGAGGGAGGGAGCGGCCTCTCCAAGGCCTGGCCCACAGGAGGCACAGGGAGCATTTTGTTAGAGAGGACCTTTGCACCAGGCTCCTGACTGTCTTCCCGTGCCCCTTGCGTCGCTTTCACCATCCTCCTAACCGCTCCCAGGACGCAGCCAGGCATGGAGTCAGTACTGCATCTATCGCCCCACAGTCCTGTGAGGCAGGGACTGCAGACGCACCCATTTTACACATGGGGACTGAAAGCTCAAGGGGACATCACTTGAATGTGGTAGAGGCGAGGTTCCAACCCACATCTGACTCCAAAGCCAGTACTCTCCCAACCCTGTGGCTCATGACAGTCCATTAATCCCCAACCTCGAGCCAGACCCACACATATTCCAAGTTCTGTCAGGCAGAACAAGCCCGCCCTGCACAAGGGGCATCCCGGGGCTCACAGCCAGGACACTCAGAGCTGGCCGTGCCCCAGCACAGGGGTAGGGTGGGCCCCTCACGCCTCTAGGCTGCAGGGGGCTGGCAGGCAGAGAGGGAGGGGAGGGGAGCTGCTGGTGGGGCAGGGCGCTGGTCCCACTTACCCCGGGCTGGGGCCGAATCCAAGGCAGCAGCTGGGGCTGGTCATCTGCGTCCAGGACCACAAAGGTCATAAAGGCACTGTTGATGTGGCGCCGGTGGGTCTCAGCCTGCTGGCGATAGGCCTCCACACATACGCCCACCTCCATGCTGAGGGGAAAGAGTGCGGCTTCCAACCTGGACAGACCTTCCCATGGGCCATGCCTCCTCCCCAACACACACACTCACACACACACATACACACACATGCATGCACACACATACACACACATGCATGCACACACACGCATGCACACACATACTCACACACATATGCACACACACTCCTGCAGTTCTTCCAGCAACCTGGATCAGAGTCCCAATGACAGGATACCTGGGACCACACCCTCCACTAATGTTTACAGAGCACCTCCTGTGTGTGTCCAGCCCTGTGAGGATGCGGGAGTGAATAAACCCATCTAGTCCATGCCTCGTGGGCTAACGGCCAGGGGAGGAGGCAACCAACAAGAAAGCAAAGGTATAAATATGCCATCATAAACCGCGAAGGGGCATGAGGACATAAACCAGGAGGTGGAGGTGCACGGCCTAATTAGAAAATGTTCATCATGTGCATATTTACAAGTGCTGTGGCAGCCTGGCTTCCAACAGCTCAGTTGCTGCTATTCATGTGTATCTTACCATCTTTATTTCTTTATTCCTTTATTTGTTTTTTGAGACAGTCTCATTCTGTCACCCAGGCTGGGGTGCAGTGGCACAATCTCGGCTCACTGAAACCTCTGCCTCCTGGGTTCAAGGGATTCTTGTGCCTCAGCCTCCCAAGTAGCTGGGATTACAGGTGTGTGCCACCACATGTGGCTCATTTTTTGTTTATTTAATAGAGACGGGGTTTCGCCATGTTGGCCAGGCTAGTCTTGAACTCTGAGCCTCAAGTGATCTGCCTGCCTCGGCCTCCTAAAGTGCTGGGATTACAGGCATGAGTCACTGCACCCAGTCACTTACCATCTTTATTAATTATAAAATAGCCACCACCATTCCCCCTCACTTGGGAAGTTCTATAATTGCAGAATGTGGACATTATATAGATGGGGAAACCAAGGCCTAGAACTGGGCAATAATTTTTCCAAGGATTCCAGATTCCTGGAATCTGCTAAAAACCAGGCTTCACAGCTCCTACGAAAGGGCTTTTCCCCTGCACCGCGGCAGAATGTGTGAAGTCAGACTGCAAATAACAACAGTAATAGTAAGAGCAGCCACAATGGCTGATCTTTACTGGACATTTTCTCTGGCATTCTACTAGCAACAGCTCATTGAATCCTCATAACTCTGAGGTCATTGTGATGAGCCCCATTTTATAGGTGAAAGAACCAAGACTCAGGGGGGTTAAGTTGCTTCCCAAGGTCACAGAGCCAGTAAGAGGTGGAGCCAAACTCGAAGCCGGCAGCCTGGCTCTGATCCCTCACTTTTAATGATTAAATAATGATCTCTGAAATTCTCAAAAAATTTACTTATTTAAAGTCAGTTTTCATGGGAGTAGGTATCAGAATTCATTGCAAAGGCAACGACTCTGTAGACTAATTGTTTTAGGAAATGTGTGGGAAAGGGTTTGATAAACAACCAAACACTGGCAAGAAGTGGCCCTGTGATCTGAGCATATAGCGGTCCAGGCCTGGAGCCAGGAGCCAAGGAGAGGGACAGAGACACTGATGGGAGACAGTGGGAGACAGGGGCTAGGGGATCCCACAGGAGGGGTCCCTGACCCAGCCAGGGATAGGCAGGACTGGGAGCCAGGGAAGGCTTCCAAGAAGGGAACATCAAAGCTGAATTTCAGAGACAGTGAAGGAACCCAGGAGCCGGGCGAGGATTTAGACCCTGTCTGCAGGCCAAAGGGCTCCTGGACGGTTTGCAGTAGGGTCCTTTCTAGGGTCAGAAAGAGCCCTCAGCCCCGAATGGCCCTGGCCGCGCCCATCCCAGACCCTCACCTATGTTTGAAGGCATTGTTCACGATGGCTTTGAGCACCAGACGGTCGCCGACCTGGGACGGGCCTCGGAAGTGGAACATCTCAATGGCCTTCAGCGTAGGGTGGGCACGGCAGAGCCGACTGAGGAGGTTTGGAGGGGGAGACAGAAGGAATGCCCTCAGTGCTTTAGCCACTAGTTTGGGCCAGGTTTTTTTTTTTTTTTTTTGAGACGGCGTTTCACTCTTATTGCCCAGGCTGGAGTGCAATGGCATAGTATCGGCTCACTGTAACGTCTGCCTCTTAGGTTCAAGCAATTCTCCTGCCTCAGCCTCCTGAGTAGCTGGGATTACAGGCGTCCACCACCATGTCCGGCTAATTTTTTGTATTTTTAGTAGAGACGGGGTTTCACCATGTTGGCCAGGATGGTTGCAAACTCCTGACCTCAGGTGATCTACCCACCTTGGCTTCCCAAAGTGCTGGGATTACAGGCATGAGCCACTGCACCCGGCCTTTTTTTTTTTTTTTTGAGACAGGGTTTCATTCTGTTGCCCAGGCTGGAATGCATTGGTGCATCTTGGCTCACTCTAACCTCCACCTTCCGGGTTCAAGCAACTCTCCCATCTCAGCCTCCCAAGTAACTGAGACTACAGGCACACACCACCACACCTGGCTAATTTTTGTATTTTTAGTAGAGATGAGGTTTTACCTCGTTGCCAACCTGGTCTTGAACTCCTGACCTCAAGTGGCCTCGGCTTCCCAAAGTGCTGGGATTACAGGCATGAGCCACCACACTAGGCCAGCTTGGGCCGGCCTTCTACCCTAGTCCCATCCCCAGACCCAGCCTGGAACTACACATTCTGATCCACCTACTGCCACCCAAACCAGTGGCAGTTCTGCTCAGAGGCACAGAACTGAAGTCTCATTTCATAGCTTAGAATACTGAGGTCTATGCATGGTGGGAAAGGAGCCAAGTTTGAGGAGACAGAAGAAAGCAGGGTTTGGGGTAAACCCCTTTCCCATTTTCCTTCCAACTTTTACACCTTGGTAGCTGCTGTTCCTACTATCTAGAAGCCCTCCCCTAACCCAAAGCTACTTGGCATTCAAGGCCCAGCTGAAGTGTTCTTCCTCCAGGCAGCCTTCCCTGACCATCAGCCTCTTACCCTCCTCTGGGATCTTCCTGCACTTATAGCCAAGGCTGCCCAAAAGAGCATTGCTTATGCACTGTCTCCCACAGGTTAAACTGGAAGAGGGGCCATCGAAGCCAGGCTCTAAAGAATAAGGAGGAATCCGCCTGGCTGGGAAGGGCATGGGTTGGGAAGGGCACTCCTGGTAAAGGGAACAGCAAAAGCAAAGTCATGGAGGTGTGAGAGTGTCAATTAGTGAAGGTCAGTTACCATAACTATAAAAAACACCCTGATATTTAGGGTAGAACAAGCCCCAGACAGGCACAGAGGTTATAGGAGAGAAAACAATTTTCACCCCTTGGAGGAAGGGAACAGTGAGAGATGGCTTTATGGAGGAAGTGGGCAGGATATTAGCAGACAAAGAAGAGTAGGGGAAACACAGCAGGAGCCTACACCAGGGGCAAAGGCAGGGGCTGGGAAAGTGGAGGATGGCAACACAGAGCAGCAAATGGCTTGATGTGAAGGGAACATAGATACTAGAAGGAGTACAGGTAGGGCCAGATCAAGGGGAGGATCTAGTGCCAGGCCAAGAGAGCTGTTGTTTCCCACGTAAAAGATGAGAGCTTTTTGAGTAGAACAAGAAATAGTCAGTTCACAAAAATTCTTTATCTGATTTGGAACAGCCAAGCTTCTGAAGCCTTGAATGCCAACCCTAAGCTGGGGTTTCCCCTCCAGAGGGAGGTGGCCAAGGGGAGGAGGAGGAGAAAGGAGGGGAGGCAGAGGCAGTACATTCTGCCCTCACCTGGCTGCAATGGTGGCCACATTCTCCATCCAGGCCATGATCTGGCCCCCAAAGGTGTTGCCCTGGTGATTGGCATGGGGAGGCAGGACCAGCTCCACGCTCTCCACACGAGTCTTCTCGGCCGGCACCATGTGGCTGCAGTCTCTGCTCTCCAGATCTGACCAGGGATGGGGTGAGGGAGGGAAGCGGGGAGGTGAGAACATTCCCAAGGGCAGCCCCTCCCCACAGGCAGCCCGGAGACCCCCACCACTCCACCCCACTCAGGTTCTTTTATTTATTCGGCACCAAGTGCACATGAGGCAGAGGGTGGCCCTGGGTGAGAGATGAGCCCATTCAGTGCCGTGGACCCATCACCAGCTCTGAGACAAGACAGCTGGTCTGAGTCTCAGCTCCACTCCAGACTGCCTGCATGGCAGTGGGCAAATTGAGTAATCCCTCTGAGCCTCAGTTGCCTCATTTGTAAAGGCAGATGTGAACGCTGACCCAACAGGACTGTGTGAAGATGAAATGTTATTGTTGTCACAAAGTGCTTGACTCAAGGCCAGTCGTAATAGCTCATGCCTGTAATCCCAGCACTTTGGGAGGCCAAGGCGGGTAGATCACTTGAGGCCAGGAGTTCGAGACCAGCCTGGCCGACATGGCGAAACTCTGTCTCTACTAAAACACAAAAAAATTAGCTGGGCATAGTGGCAGGCGCCTGTAATCCCAGCTACTCTGGAGGCTGGGCCATGAGAATCACTTGAACCTGGGAGGCAGAGGTTGCAGTGAGCCGAGATCACACCACTACATTCCAGCCTGGGTGACAGAGTGAGATTCTGTCTCAAAAAATAATAATAATCACAAAGTGCTTGGCTCCAGTAAATATGCTCTCAAAAAGGACGGGTTTTCCCCGCCCTCTGCCCTGGTATCCTTGGCAGCAATGGCATTAGGATATCCTTAGTAGGAGAGGCCAGGCAGTGAATGGGGCCTTGGGCTTCAGGGCAGCAGATGCTGGCATGCTCCACCAAATCCAAGGTGGTGTCATTTGTCTCCCATCTCCCATGGAGAGACTTCTTCAGGGAGGGTCCATCAAAGAGCTGGCATTGCCCTTGGCTTGGCTTGCAGACTCTCAGAGATGCCACAGACAGGGTCAGGGCAGACAGGAGGGGAAGTTGAGGGTGGCCTGAGCCAAGGTCTGGAGACAGGACGGGGAGGGTATTCACAGGGCAGTGGGGCCTGTGGCTTAGCAGGAGCTGCAGTGGGTCAAGAGACAGTACCCAGTGAAGCTGAGTGGCCAGCCAGAAGGCCCAGTGCCAGGCAAAGGCACTTGAGCTGATTCTTAGGTGGGAGGGCTGTTAGGACAGAAGATATTTAGGAAGGCTGCAAGGGGATGGATGGATCAAGGGGGACTTGATGACTGTAGGAAGAGCTGGGCCTCCCCAGCTCCAGCCTCCAAGCCCAGCATAACCAGGGCACGTGGAACTCAGGGCACAGCTTGCTGCTTCCACTGGGCTTTGCAAGTTCTGCCTGCTCTCTCCCCACTCCGAGGAGATTTTCTCCTAAAGTCGCCTGCTTTTGGTTTCAAGGAAGACCCAAATTTGAACATTCTGGAGATGAGTAAACAAGTCCAAGGTCTCCCCTCTGGGCCTTTGCCCAGGCTGTGCCCTCTGTCAAGAACCCTTCCTTATATCCCACCTGTCAAAATCCCACCCAATCCAAAGTAGATCTTTCTGTACTGGTATAGAACAACCCCCAAGATATATTTCTAAGGGGAACTACAAGATACAGAACAGTATGTACTGAATGCCCCTTTTCAGGGGCTAAATAATACATGCTATGCTTAGATATGCAGGGAATACTTCTGGAAAGATACCCTAAAATGGGTAATAGTAGTTGCTTCTGGGGAGAGGACCTAGATTCTGGGATAGAAAGGAGTCTTGCTTTTTATTTTATATCTTTATATACACACACCTTATGTGTGTATGCATATATACACACACACATATACATAAGCATATATATATGCTTTTTACGTATGTTTTTTATATGCTTTTTATTTTATTTTATTTTATTTTTTGAGACAGAGTTTTGCTCTTTTTGCCCAGGCTGGAGTGCAATGGCACAATCTCGGCTCATTGCAACCTCCACCTCCCAGGTTCAAGCGATTCTCCTGCCTCAGACTCCCAAGTAGCTGGGATTACAGGTGCCTGCCACCACACCCAGCTAATTTTGTATTTTTAGTAGAGACGGGGTTTCACCATGTTGGCCAGGCTGGTCTTGAACTCCTGACCTCAGGCAACCCACCCACTTCGGCCTCCCAAAGTGCTGGGATTACAGGCATAAGCCATTGCGCCCGGCCTATATATGCTTTTTTTATAGATGCATATACATAAGCATATATATATGCTTTTTAAAAAATCCTACAGAGTCTTCAAGGTGTAGCTCGATACTATCTTCCCAAACACCTTGGCTTCTGGAGACCCAAATGTGTTTTGTGGACAAAAAAGGGATTTCCACATGACCTAACTGCAGCTTCATGGTTCCCGGGAGCTGGTAGAGAGGCCCAAACACTCCCTTTCCCTAGAGGAGACCTCGGGACCAAGAGGGCTAGAGAGGCCCAGGGCCACCAGTGGGTGGAAGTCCCCGGAGCCTCCCTTCCTGCCTCTGCCCAGTGGGGGCCCGGGGCAAAGAGGCCATGCAGGACTCCAGCTACCCTCCCCATGCACGGCTGGCAGCTGCTCACCGTCCTGAATGGCGCAGTTGGCCAGGAGATCCTTGATGGTGTCCGCATAGACAAGGCGCATGCGCCGGCGCTCGGCCGCCACACTGTGCTCCATCTTCTCCTCCTCTGTCCGTGGCGTGATCTGCTTCAGCTTCACCTGTCGGCCAGGGGACAGGGTGGGGGACACTCAGGGCAAGTCTCCTGAAATAGCACAAGGGCCTGTCCCCAGCACCATCCCATGCCCAAGGCTAGCACACGGCAGGCCTGGGCTGCTGCTCAGTTCCAAGGCTTCCTCCCTCTTTGCCCCATCTTCCTGCCTCCACGATGACCTGACACATATTCATCCTCCAGCCCCCACCCAGGTCCCTTCCTTGGGCAAAGGCTCAGAGGATAGGGAGTGTCACTGTAGGACATGCAGAATGGTGAGACCAGAAGAATCTTCGCTGGAGAAGCACAGGGAGAGGTGGGGGAAAGGAGTAGGGAGGTGGCTGGGGGTCCGAATGCAATGGGGGGTGGGCCTTCCTCTGGGAGCTGTGGATTCCTGCTGTGTCCCTCCCCATCCCCTCTGCCAACCCCCAACCTCACCACCCTGATCCAGACTTGCCATGGCAGGTGCCCAGGTCGCTGAGCAGCATCCAGCAGCCAGGTGCACCCAGTTACCTTAGTGATCTCTCGGTGGGCCACGAAGGTGGCCAAGGCCTTGCACACATTCCACTGCTTCTCAGAGCACAGGTCCTCCGAGGCCACCTGGATGCCCACCTGGAGAGGAACAGTAAGGGCGAAGGAATGAGGGACAACATTGCACTCACCAGCGAGAAGGCCCGCAGCTCCGCCAGACAGCAAGTCCCAGCCCAGCCCAGGCCTCCGGAGTTTCTGCACCACCTACCAGGTCTGGGAGGCCAGATATCTGAGGTAGGTTTTGACTCTGCCCTTGGGTCCCCGGGAAACCTTGGGCAAAACACTTCCCTTCTCTGGGCCTCAGTTTCCTCATCTACAAGGTGGGAGTGATCAGACCTACCCTTGTGGGATTGTTGAGAGGATTAAAATGAGACTATGTCTACAACAGGGCTTACTATAGGTAGAATGTTGGCTACATTTAAAGGATAGGCCAGTCTCAATGGCCTGTCATCCTAGAATTTTGGGAGGCTGCAGTGGAAGGATCACTTGAGGCCAGGAGTTCAAAACAAGCCAGGGCAACACAGTGAGACTCCTGTCTCTGCAAAAAAAAAAAAAGAAAAACACACACACACACACACACACACACACAAATTAGCTGGGTGTGGTGGCGCATGTCTGTAGTCCCAGCTACTCAGGAGGCTGAGGCAGGAATATTGCTAAAGCCCAGGAGTTCGAGGTTACAGCGAGCTATGATTGCACCACTGCACTCCAGCTTGGGTGACAGAGTAAGACCTCATCTCAAAAAAATAATAAAAATAAAAATAAAAGATCAAGAACAGGCACCTGGGAGTACCTGAGCATTTATGGGGTACCCAGAGGCATACTCAGGACTACGTCACCCAGCCTCAGTGCTCCGTCAGGAACCACGGGCCCAGCTGGTGAAGTTGCCTGGGCCTGAAGTCTATAGGCAGGAAATAGAGCCCTCCCCCGCAGCTCACAGAGCCCTGGGCATCACCAGCAGTCCATTAACTCGACAACCCTGCCACATAGGAATCACGTTCCCTTTTGCAGATGTGGAGACGGGCTGTGGGAGGCAAGCTCATGGGCCAACCCAGCACGCTCCTGCCCCAGCTCCTCCTCCAAGATCAGGTGCTCCTGCTGCCTTCCCTCCATTCCCACAAACACTAGGCTGCGGAGGCTGGATGTGAAGACTCAGGGGCCTGGAAGTCAAGTCACATGCTGGAATCTGTGTAGCTCAGTGACCTGGGACAAGTCCCTTCCCCTCCCGGGCCTCGATTTTCCTGTCTGTGTTACGGGATTTGGAACAGGAAGATCCTTGGGATTCCCCTTGCTCTGCCAATCATTACAGAACTCTGCTGTTCTAATCAGGGCCCTGCGAGGGTGAGTGGCCCTGGGCTGCAGGGAGAAGAATGGATAGAGGAGGTAGAGGACCCACCCACGCACCCACTCCCAAGCAGTGCCCACCCCACACACCTCCATGCTGGAGTTGAAGGCCCGGTTCACCTTGGCCTTGATATTCACCACTTGTCCAACACTGGGGAGAGGAAAGCAGGAGGTGAGCCTTCCAGAGGGGCCAGAGTGAGGAACAGGGGCCTCAGATACTTGCAGCGCCTCTCTTGTGGGGAGCTGGCAGGAGAACTTCATGGTTTGCAGGGCATATTCACATCTGCGATGTCACCAAGTCCTCAAAGCCAGCCAGCAAGATAGTGTCAGCACCCCATTTCACAGATGGGGAAGCTGAGGCAGAGAGAAGTAGCATGATTGCACTCATCTGCTCCCCCGTTCCCTACTCCCTATTGTCCAATTAATGCCTGTGCTTCTTTCTGCACTTGGCTCAGTGGTCCCCTCCTCAGGGGAGCCCTCCCTGCCCTGCAGTGGCCCACCCACCAACAGAGGCCCTGCAGAGGCCCACCCACCAACAGAGGCCCTGCAGAGGCCCACCCACCAACAGAGGCCCTGCAGAGGCCCACCCTGCAGCACTCTCCTGGCAGACTGACCTCTGTCCCCCACAATTCTTAAGCTCTACTAGGGTAAGGGCCATGTGTTTTGCTCCCCATTGACTCTCCAAGGCCTAGCACATGGCACAGGGTAGGTGTCCCATAAAGGGTAGCTGACTGAATTAACGCATTCCACATGTACTGAATGTCTAGTGAGGGCAAGATGCTATAAACAAAGGGCGGGGAGAGAAATGGAAACATTTAAAGAATGCCTGCTAGGTGCCAGGCACTGTGCACTGCCCCATTGGAGCCTCAGAATAAGCTTGGCAGGTAGGTTTAGGAGAAACTGAGCATTAGAGAGGTGAAGTCATTTGCCCAAGGTCACCAAGCTAAAAACTGGCAGCACCAGGCTTCCAGACTGACTCTGTTGACTGCACCAGCCCCACTCTTTCCAGTTGCAACCTGTCCTTCTAGAATGATCCCCACATCCAAATGAATCCCCAGGCGAGCCTCCTAGCCTGGGCCGTGCCTCATGGAGGCGGCAGAGGGTGCCCAGCTGATGTACTGTGGGGAGGAGGGGCAGGAGGCTAAAGGCTGGCCCCATTCAATGGTTGTGTGATCTCCAGCAGGTCCTTTCACTTTCAAGGTTCGTCAGCCTTGGCTCATGAACATGGAGAGTGCCATGCCGACTTCTTTCTCAAATGACAGTCTCCTGGCCAAGTCTAGGAATGGTCCATTCCAAGGGGCCTGCTGGTCAAGGGGCCACCATGAACGCAGTGGGAATGGCCACACAGGCCTGCGTTCCAGTCAAGCTCCACCTTGACCATCACACTACAGAGCTGTGTGACCTTGGGTGAGTCACTTTGCCTCTCTGAGTCCCTTTCCTCCTGTGTAAAGTACTGCCTGTGGTTCTGAGGGTCAAGTGAGAGACAGTGGGACTCAGCCAAGCACCAGGCCTGGCCTACAGCAGGAGCTCAATAAATACCACAAGCTCACATTTGCCAGACATTTGTTGATATGATTCCTGTTCATTTTTTTAGTAACACTAATGATCACGGAGGGGAGGGTCATTTTTAGGAGATCTATGCTGACATAGTGACAGATGAAGCATCACGATGTCTGCATCTCACTTTCAAATCATTTAGCAGAGAGAGAGAGAGAAAGTGTATATATATTACATCTGTAATCCCAGCACTTAGGGAGGCCAAGGCAGGCAGATCACCTGAGTTCAGATGTTCGAGACCAGCCTAGCCAACATGATGAAACTCTACTAAAACTACAAAAATAAATGAATAAATAAATAAGCCAAGCATGGTAGGGCACACCTGTAATTCCAGCTACTTGGGAGGCTGAGTCACAAGAATTGCTTGAACCCAGGAGGCAGAGGTTGCCATGAGTCAAGATTGCACCACTGCATTCCAGCCTGGGTGACGGAGTGAGACTTTGTCTCTTAACAAGAAAAAAAGTATATATATTTATTTATTTGTCCATACATAGATAAAGCAAATTTAGAAAAATGTTAATTATTGGGTCTCAGTGGTGGTGATCATTGTACTATTCAACTTTTCTATATGTTTGAAAGCTTTCATGATCAAACATTAGGGCAAAAAATTTCTGTGGTCCCCCAAATAAAAATAAAAGTCTATTTTCTCTGGTGCTGAGAGGAATTTGTGATTTTTCCTCCTCTCCCTCCTTCTCTCTCTACCTTCCCCCAAAGTCAACCAGACACCCATCTAGGTTGCTAAGCTCCTCCTCCTTCCTGACTGCCCTCTGTCCCCACAGCTCAGGCCCAAATCGTATCCCTCCCCAGGGCCACTGCCCAGCCTCCTCAGGGGCCCCGGAGTTCCCGGACACCCCTCCAGGTGTTCTTCACAATGCAGACAAGCAACCCCCTATAAACAAATCTGACCTCCATCAAGACCTTCCCTAGGACCAATTTACTCTTAGGAGACAGAGGAACATGTTAATTGTACCACAGAAATTCAAACAGAAAACCCAGATGATGAAGGACTCTAGAGGTCAAATGGCCAGCTTTCCTCAACAAATACATTTTGAGAGAGAGACAGAGCGTGCCAGAGAGCTGGTGGAGGATTGGTGGGTATCTATAGAGTTTTTTGGTTTTTTGGGGTTTTTTTTGAGACAGAGTCTCACTCTGTCGCCCAGGCTGGAGTGCAGTGGCACTATCTCAGCTCACTGCAAGCTCTGCCTCCCAGGTTCATGCCATTCTCCTGTCTTAGCCTCCCGAGCAGCTGGGACTACAGGCGCCCGCCACCATGCCTGGCAAATTTTTTGTATTTTTAGTAGAGATGGAGTTTCACCATGTTAGCCAGGATGGTCTCGATCTCCTGATCTCATGATCTGCCGGCCTCGGCCTCCCTATAGAGTTTTTTTAAGAAGCAACCAATTACAATTATTTGCATCTTGACTTGAATAAAAAAATAACTGCAGGCTGGGTGTGGTGGCTCATGCCTGTTATCTTAATACTTTAGAAGGCAGAGGTGGGAGAATCACTTGAAGTTAGGAATTTGAGACCAGCCTGATCAACATAGTGAGACCAACACCACGTCTCTACAAAAACAAAATAATAATAACAAAATAAAATTTAATTAGCCAGGTATGGTGCCACATGCCTGTAGTCCCGGCTACTAGGGAGGCTAAGGTGGAAGGATCGCTTAAGCCCAGAAGTTCAGGGCCACATTGAGCTATGATGGTGCCACTGCATCCTAGCCTGGGCAACAGAGCAATGCTCCATCTTGAAAAAATAAATAACTGCAAAGCAAACAAAATAATAACAAATTCATGAGACAGTTTGGGCATTTGAACACTGACTAGTGATGTTGGTGAAAATTATTGTTAATTTTTTAGATGTGGTAATGATGTTAATGTTAAGGTTTTGTTTAAAAAGAATCCCTCTCTCAAAAAAAAAAAAAAGAGGGCCAGGTATGGTGGCTCACACCTGTAATCCCATCATTTTGGGAGGCCAAGGTAAGCAGATCACCTGAGGTCAGGAATTCAAGGCCAGCCTGACCAATATGGTGAAACCACATCTCTAATAAAAATACAAAAATTAGCCCAGCTTGGTGGCGGGCACCAGTAATCCCACCTACTCGGTACACTCAGACAGGAGAATTGCTTGAACCTGGAGGCAGAGGTTGCAGTGAGCCAAAATTGCGCCACTGCACTCCAGCCTGGGTGACAGAGCAAGACTCCATCTCAAAAAATAAATAAATAAATAAATATAAAAAGAGTTCTTAGCCCTTAGAGATACATTTGGAAATATTTTTAAGTGGCAAAAGCAGAAACAAAGAAACAAAAAAACTTCTTAATCTTTCCTCAGGTGTGTCCAGGCCTTCCCTGGCCACCAACCATGCTCCAGGCCCCTCCTCAGCTTGTCCTTCTTCCCGGCATCCTCTCTGGCTTTCCCTTCCACCCACAGCCTCCTCCGCCCAGATTCACCTTCACTCCGCTGTGCCCTGCAGCAGGTCCAGCCATCGTGCATGTACCCCTAGCCCTCTCTATTCCTTGCTCCCCTAAGTAAAAGAACTTGTGCTGGCTACGGGAACCTGGAGCTGGCCCAGACACAGCTCCACTGGCTTCAAAGTATCACTATGTACAGAGCTGACAGTACTGAAGCCAGCTCAAATGCCTCCTCCAGGAAGTCCCCCCTTGACTACCCTCAGTGCCACAACACCTACCCTCGGACATATAGGAAATACAGCCCACTGGTTAAGAGCAAGGGCTCTGGGGCCATACTGCCTATCCTGGGTCCTCCATTAGATGTACCACCTTCAACAAGGTACTTCGTTTCTCTGTGCCTCAGTTTCCTCATCTGTAAAATGAGGATACTAATAGCTTTGACCACATAGTATTGTTTTGAGGATCAAATAAGTTAATATATTTTAAAAGGTATCAAAATAATGTATCAGTATTGGTGCAGTAATTGTGACAAAGGTACCCTGCAAATGTAAGATGTGAATCATGGGGCACCTGGGTGTGGGGTATATGGGAACTCTCTGTACTATCTTTATTTTTATTTTTTTATTTAGCCTGAGATGGGGTCTCACTGTGTCACCCAAGTTGGAGTGCAGTGGTGTGATCTTGGCATTGCAACCTCTACATCCCAGGCTCAAGTGATCCTCCCACCTCAGCCTCCCAAGTAGCTGGGACCACAGGCGTATATCACCATGCCCAGCTAATTTTTGGTAGAGACAGGGTTTTTGCCATGTTGCCCAGCTGGTCTCAAACTCCTGAGCTCAAGTAATCTGCCTGTCTCAGCCTCCCAAAGTTCTGGGATTACGGGCACAAGCCACTGCACCCGGCCTGGTACTATCTTTAGAGATACAATGTTTTTATGAATTTAGAACTATTCTAAAATAAAAGGTATTACAAAGAAGGCCAGGCAGGGTGGCTCACGCCTGTAATCCCAGCACGTTGGGAGTCCAAGGCAAGCAGATCACTTGAGGTCAGGAGTTCGAGACCAGCTTAGCCAACATGGTGAAACCATGTCTCTCCTAAAAATACAAAACTTAGCTGGGTGTGGTGTCACACACCTGTAATCCCAGCTACTCAAGAGGCTGAGGCAGGAGAATCACTTGAACCCGGGAGGTGGAGGTTGCAGTGAGCCAAGATCACATCATTGCACTCCAGCTTGGGCAACAGAGCAAGACTCTGTCTCAACAACAACGAAAAAAAATTACAAAGCAGAGCCCTTTTTTTTTGAGACAGAGGCTCGCTCGCTCGCCCTCTCGCCCAAGCTGGCAGGCTGGAGTGCAGTGGTGTGACCTCAGCTCACTGCAACCTCCACCTCCCAGATTCAAGCAATTCTCTGCCTCAGCTACTCGGATACAGGTGCCCACCACCAAACCCGGCTAGTTTTTTGTATTTTCAGTAAAGATGGGGTTTCACCATGTTGGCCAGGCTGGTCTTGAACTCCTGACCTCGTGATCCACCTGCCTAGGCTTCCCAAAGTGCTGAGATTACAGGCGTGAGCCACCCCACCTGGCCCAGAGCCCATTATTGCACAGAACTTCTCACTGCGAATTGAATAACGTTCCTACATCTGCCTCCCCTGAAGATTGGGAGTTCCGGGGAAGAGGCTGTGCTCCAGTGGACTTTGCATGCCCAGTCTCAGCAAGGCCCCTGGTCCGGAAAAGGTGCTCATCTAATGTTAAGTGTGTGGTGAGGGAATGACTGACGACTGAATGAGTGAGTACAGAGACTGGCCAGTCTTCTTCCTTAATGGTGACACACTGAGCACCCAGTGAGTCCCAAATAAGCCCTTGGCACTTGACGTCCTAGTAGTGCTAATGAGTTTAGGATCAGGTCCAGAGACAAGAGCTCTGTGTGTGGCCCTGCAGCCTGTCCTGAGCCAAGGGCTCAGCCTGCTCCTTGGATCCCAGAAGCAGGATCTATGGGCAAAGCTATGGGGAGGCAAAGCCCAGTGTGTGTGATGAATATTCTTCTATTCTGTACAGCCATAAAAAAAAAAAGAAAAGAAAAGGCCAGGTGCGGTGGCTCATGCCTGTAATCCCAGTGCTTTGGGAGGCCAGGGCGAGTGGATCACCTAAGGTCAGGAGATCGAGACCAGCCTGGCCAACATGGTGAAACCCCGACTCTACTAAAAATACAAAAAAATTAGCTGGGCCTTGTGGCAGGCACCTGTAATCCCAGCTACTCATGAGGCTGAGGCACAAGAATTGCTTAAACCTGGGAGGCAGAGATTGTAGTGAACCAAGATCATGTCATTGCATTCCAGCCTGGGTGACAGAGGTAGACTCCTTCTCCAAAAAAAAGAAAGAAAAAAGGCTACTTTGTTATTGAGGTACTGAGCTCCTCATCCCTGGAAGTATGTGAGCAGAGGTTGATGGCCCAAGCTTCTGGCTCAGACTTGGCCAACGCACCTTGTCTAGGGGCCTCCCTATAGCCCAATGACCAAGGACCCAAAGAGAATGCCCAAGCTCAAAAAGGCATTCACTGATTAAGTCTAACCCCTTCCATTTTGCAGATGAGAAAACTGAGGCCCAGAGAGAGAGATTGACTTCCCCAAAGTCACGCAGCACCCCACAATGCTATCTCGGCCACACCCTGGCTGAGGGAACACCCACCCACCCACCGCACTGAACAGCCGGTCAACTCCTAGCCCCCAGAAACATTGCAGAGGTGTTCATGCTTCCCCAGAGGCTGCCCCCATCTCATTTTCAGTCAGTTGAGTCAGGCTCCAGGCAGCACACAGGCTGACCAGGCAGGGAGTCAGGAGCACGGGCCCCAGGCTGATGGGAGAGAGACCAGAGGACCCTAACGCAGAGGGGCTACTTACCTAATGGTGTGCTCAAAATAGATGTCATCCATGGAAGCTGTGACACAGGGGCAGCCAGCGTGCCTCTCCGCTGGTGTCAGGAGAAGAAAGCCAGACATTAGTAGCCTCCCCCCACTACAGGCTTCTGCTCAGATGGTACCTCCTCAAGAGGCTTCTCCAGCCGCCCAAGTCAAGGCCACAACTCCCACCACATCCTGCCACCACCCTTCCTTACGCTCCCTCACCATGGACACCACCCTTGACCCTTTTCTGTATATCTGCTTTTCATGTCTATTTTCTCTTCCTCCCACTAGAGTGTAAATTACTTGAGGACGAGGATTTTTGCCTGTCTTGTTCATTGCAGTACCCCAGTCCTGGAACAGTGTCTGGCACATAGTATACACTCAGTAAGTAGCTGTTGAATGAGTGATCATGCCACACTGGCCTGCTTCTCAGCCTTCTGGAGCCCCCGTCCCTTCAACCACCTGTTCCCTGCCTGAGTCATTCTCACCCTCAGGACTCCACTCAGGTGCCTTAGCCCTTCAGGAATCCCTTCCCTGCCCCCAGGCCTGGGTCAGGGCCTCTGAAACAGTGCTGGGGGACAGTCAGGTCACGTGCCTGTCCCCCACCCCCACCCCACCAGGCTGTGAGCTCTGTGGGTTGGAGAACACCGGTGCAACAAAAGGAATGAAATGAAATGGGCTTGGTCTGGTGCACCTCAACTCAAGGGAAGGAGCGCCGCAAGGCAGGCAGTCATGGGCTTTGCTCAACAGCATCTCCGAGCCAATCTGAAGCAGCCATGTGAAAGGCCGCACTGTGTTGAGGCAGGGACTTAGGGCCTGGGACCAACACTCAGGGCTGAGGGGGTCTGAGTAAGAGAGAGGTGGGCTGTGCTGAGCGTCGAGACGTCGGAAAGGGCATTTCAGACAGATGGACCAGCATGAGCAAAGGCCAAGATGAGAAACAAGTGTGGCACTTAGGTGGACAGTGACCATCTCTGAAAGCACAGCCCCTGCTATGGGCCTGAGGGGCAGGTGGGGAGCCATGAGGAGCGCAGCCTCACCGGACAGGCAGGCCGTGGTGTCAATCCACTTGAGCAGCTGCCCGACACTCAGCTCGCCGCGTTGGTTGGTGTGGCAGGGCAGTACCAGCTGGCTCATCTGCACCTCCGTGGGGTTCCGGTATCCTTCGCCGTCTGCCATGGCACTGTCGTTCCCTGCACGTGAGGCTGACTTCCGGGATGTGCGACTGGAGAACACAGAGGCCAACCCCTGGGGGACAGATGGGGACAGAGAGGTCTGCTTGCTGCAAGGTCTCCCAGGTCTGTCCAGCCCTGAGAACTCAGGGTCTGGGGGAAAGAGAGTACCTAGAGCCACCTCCCACCAGACCCCAACGAGAGAGTGGTCACCACCCTGCAGCCCATGGTCTTGGATCCCAGGGAATCTGTGGATGCTGCTTCTGCCAAGTTTCCTTTTGGCCAAGAACTGCACATGAACACGGCCTTGCACCCGAGTGGGGCGGTGGAGACAAAACCATGCGGAGAAGTCAGTCCTCGTTTCAGCTCCTGGGCCAACTTTTTAAAGTGTTGCCTTAGATTTACCTTCGTTCTGGAAAGAGTCCCCTCTCGGTGCAGGGAGGCCTAGAGAGCTCCTTAGCGGTCAAGCCCAGGGAACTGTTCCTAATACAGTGTTTCAAGAAGCTGCTCTGATTTCATCCCCAAAGGGCTCCTTTCTTGGGCTCCCTCCATCTTCAGAGGCCATCAGGACAGCCTCTGTGGCCTGCTAATGTCTAGCACTTGGATCTATTGACGGGGAGGGCCGTGGGCAGTCACTGACCAGCTGTCTGATCCAGGGCTGGGTACAGCAGCTGCCAGCTGGAAAACTGGCTGAGAAAATTCTCCAACTCATGAATTAGAGCCGGGGTTTCTGCTTGGAGCCAGCATGTCTTACTCTGCAGGCAGAAGAAGTGGGGTGTGCCCATCAGTCCTTTGGAAGGGAGGAAGAGGGAAGGGGCTAGCAGCCTGCCATCCCTAAGTAGACCATGAACTCAAGAGCTGGGCACACCTGCGTGTGTGAGAAAAATGAGGAGGGACAGGCATATGGGTTCCGATTCTCATGGCCAATGCCAATTGTGTGGTGGTGATGACAGTTGCCACTAATGTTTATATAGCACTTAGGTGTCACATATTTTTACAAGCACTATATGTGTACTAATCCAATTTTATCCTCACAACAAACCTATGAGACAGATGCATTATTATCCTCATCCTACAGATGAGGAGCCCAAGTAAGTGACAAAGCTCAGCTGTGACCCCAGAGGTCTGCTGCAGTCTGAACTCCTACCCCCAATACTACACTGCTTGCAGGGCCTCCTGGGGCTGAGATGAGGAGTCCAGGGCCTGGGCTTGACTGTACTGGCAAAGAGCACCATGGCCCAATGGCGAGCCTGCCACGGCTGCAGGATGATGGCCGTGGCAGCTCTTGCACCTGGTCTATACTCCATAGACAATTCCCACCGATGAGCCTCCCGTAGCTAATTCAATCAATTCCAAATGCACCGAGGTAGCTTGTTCAAGGTCACTGACCCCTACGTGGTAGAACCAGGATTTGAACCAGGCCTGCCTGACCCAGAACGGCTTATGGGTTCCCAGAAACACTGTTTATTCCCAAGAGCCCCTGGGCAGGAGGCTGGGCACCAAGGGGAGACAGGAGGGCAGCCATCCCAGGAGCTCTCAGCCTGGGTGGAGGCCTACAGGGTGCCAGGCTGCCTGGCTTACAGGCTCTCACAGGTAGCTGGAAGGCTGATGTGGTTCAAGCAGCAGGACCCGTCGCCATGGTAACCACTGCCAAGGCACTTCCTGCTTGGTGGTGCACTGGGGGCCTGCATGGATACGGGTGGCTGGCTTTCCGGGTGTGGGAGCGGGTAGAGGGAGGAGGTAGGCAAGACTCCATTTGCCCACACTCTTCCCAAACCCCTCCCACAGTCAGGGGTACTGGGAAGAAATTCCAGAAAGAAGCCCTAGAGAGAGCTGAGGAAATGGGGAGACAATGCCCACTTGCAGAGGGCACCTGGGCAGACCAAAAGGGGCAGACTGCCTGGGGCAGACCACCTGGGGCAGACCGCCTAGGGTAGACTGCCTGGGGTTTTGGGCAGTCTGGACACACACACAGGGACGCCCACACACAATGTCCCCGCTTTACCAGCCTGGGCACGTCCACCTTTCTGAGTCCTCACAAGGATGAGAATGAGAACTACTGACCCATTTCACCAACAAGGGAACATGGACACAGCCCTGGACCAGCAGTCATGATGCCTGAGCTCTGGTCCTCTCTCTGCTTCTCACTTGGTCGACCCCTCCTCCCATGCGCTCCTGTTTCCTGTTCTGTGAATCAGGAGTCCTTACCTTTCTGTTGGACCCTATGCCATAGGAGCCAAGATCTGTGCCCTGCTCACTGGTTCATTCATTCACTTATTCATTCACCAAACACTTCCTCCGTACGGGGCCCTGGGCCAAACATGGAGAATACAACGACAAATTGGGCCTAGAGGGGCCTGGCACACAGGAGGACATTGTCAAAGGTTTGTGGAGGGACAACCAGAGACGGACTTGAGTTCAAATTCTAGCTGTGTCCCTCGGGTGCTGTGTGATTCTGAGCAGGGTCTCTCCCTTCCCAAGCTACATCTGTCACTCACCAGGTAGGACAGAGAATTGCTAGTCCCTAAGGTACCCCTGGTTCCAGGAGTCTGGGACCTAACTCAGCCTGGAATTTGCACACCCAGCTGAGATTCCCAGTGAGGAAGCTCTAGAACCCTGTCAGAATGGAAATACTGTGTGCGCCTCTGAGCAGGGCCCCTGAAGCACACTGAGAGACAAGCCTCGCAGTTGTTGTCCCCACCACTCCCCTCAAAGAGAGGGGTGCAGAAGCCCTGGGCTGGAGCACAGGCGGCAGAGACAGGGCAGCAGGTGGCCCCAGGCATAGCCTTTCAGACTCCACTCCTTCCTTGGGCTCCAAGGCAGTCTGCCCACATTAGGGCAGGCCAGGCCAGGCCTCTTAGTCCCAAGGTGGGCAGGCAGCCAGCCTGGGAGGCAGGGATGTGTTCAGCCCAGGCAAGGTTTGGCCAATGGGGCTCCAGAGCTGGGCCACTCCTCCCAGGGCCAGTCACAGGGAGAGCAGAGGCCCTGGATGGAGTCATGGCCTGGGAGGACAGGCAGGCTGAGCCAAGAGAGCTGCCAGGGTGGCGGGGGCTGAACTACTGCAAGGGTAGGAGGGCACCCAGAGGTCGGAGACACGCCCTCTCAGACAGCAGCTGTGCCAAGTGCTGGCCCCAGGCCCTGGCAGACCTGGCCAGAGTTGATCATGCTAGACTAGGCCCCAGCTTGCCACACCATGGGCTCTGTGTCCCTCCTCCTGAGCCAGAGTCATGTCACAGACCTGCGGGGTCAGGGCAGGAAAGACCCCCTCACCCAATCCCTTCACAGCCTGGGGGACTAAGGCACACAGGGAAAAGCTGGCCCAGGGCCACCCAGCTGTGGGGGGGCCAAGATAAGCCCCCCTGGGTCATGGCTCCTTCTAGGCAAGTTGACAACAGGCCCGCAGGCTACTGGGGCTGGAAACAGGCCCAAGGCTTCACCTTGGTATCCTCCCTCTGCCCAGTATCCAAGTCCCAATGATTTGACCTTAAACAGGCCTCTGGTCTAACTCCTTCCAGCCTCCACACAGCACCAGAGGGATCCTTCCAAAAAGCAAATCCAACTCAACAACTACTGCTTACTACGTCCTGCCTTTCGGGGAGACCTGGTCCTCATAACTCCACCCCATGGGACTTTGCTGTGCCCCTTAGGCGCACACAGACCTTTCTAAAGAGCAAGCCTCACCAGGTACTTCCCCTGCTCAAGACTCTTTGATGGCTCCCCACTGCTCTCAGGATCAAGAACCAGCCACTGTAGCTCCTGCCACTCACCCTAGCAGCCACTCTCTCAGCTCCAGACCATATGCATTTCCTGAGAGCACCACTCTCACTCCCGCTGTCTTCCCCCACCACGAAGGTGCCGCTTCCACCTAGAATCCCTTTATCTTCCCCGTCTGCTAAGTGAGCCCTTCCTCATGCTGCGTCTCTCTTCCCCAGGGAGAGTTACAATGCCCCTGCAGCCTCACCATCTCCATCACGGCACTGACCAAGCTGGGTAGTCACTGTCCTCATAGTTGCCACCCCCATCAGACAGATGCTTCCACAGGACAGGGACACAGGCCTGGCACAGAGTCAGAGCTAAATAAATGCCCATGGAAGACAGAAAGGAAAAGACTAATGGCCTGAGAGCTGAGACTCGCAGTGGGAGGAAAGTCTGAGGTGCAGAGAGGCCATAAGGAACAGCAAAAAGGAGAAACAGAACGGCTGTGGTTCAGGTGATGGGAATGTCAGGGTAAAGGGTTCAGGTGATGTGAACACTGGGGCAAATGAGAGCAGGTGGGAAAATGCTCCACATACCCGGATGGGCAGAGACAGAGGGAGAGGGGCTTGGGGGCCAGGCCAAGAGGTCCCCAGAAACCATGGAAGACTCCTGGAGAAGGCATGGACTACAGTGATAAGCCGGCTGCGATCACAGTGACTGCAGGCTCCATCTGGAGCAACAGGCCTGGTGCAAAGGAGACCTACCTGCCCTGAAGGGGAGGAGCAGGCCTGGGTGACCTCTGGAGTAACCCACCATGACACAGGCTATGCACAGGCCTTGGGCATCAGCCTAGCTTGGGTTCAAGTCCAGTTCCACAACTAACTTGGATAACCTTGAGCAAGCTGCTCCACCTCTATGGGCCTCGGTTTCCTGTCTGTAAAAATTGGATTATTATACTCACTTCCAAGAATCATCATAGAGAGGAAATTAAACAACACCAAGTATATGAAGCTCCTAGCACACATATACCCTGTGGTTAACATGTATTGAGTGCTTACAATTAGCATTACAAAGCTGAGTCTGTGCTTCCTACAGACACACAGCTGGGAGGGACCCAAACATAGTTCAAAGTAGACTGTTGCCACAGTGCTTTCTACCCATGAGCTCACCAGAGCCTCACAGCAACCCTGTGCAGGGCAAAATTACGAGCTTGTTTGAGAGGTTCTGTGAGAATTCAAAAAGCCGGTGATTATGGAGCAGGGCTTCAAACCCAGGGTGCAAAACTGCAAAGCCCCTGTTCCTCCCACTCTCCCGCCCCTGCCTCTCACAAGGTACTAGAAGGCGGGCCCCAGGGGCGGGCAGGGAGAAGGGGCCTTGCACCCACCCCGGAGCTGTGGGCCAGGCCCCATGAAAGGCCCCATTGTCTGAACCAGGTCACTCTGAGCAGTGTGAGGGAGCTGACTAAATTCCATGCTCTGTCCCCACAAAGGTGGCCCCAGCCCCCTCCTCCTCCCCCAGCCTCTCAGAGAAACCGAAGGGCAGCCTCCTGGCGCTTTCCCCACCAGCAAGGCAGGAGTATGTGTCAACATTCCAAATCTCCTCTTTTGGCCTATTCTCTACCTTCGTCCCAAAAAAGGCTCTGAAGCAGCTTACACACACACCCGGGACACACACAGGATGCACGTGCACTAGGAACCAAAATGCAAACAAATAAAGTTAAGGAACCAAATAAGAGAGAAGAGGATTGTTATGAATCCAGATGCTGCCAAAGAGAGCTACATTGGCCTTGAGGTTCCCAGCAGACAAGGCAAAAAAGGGTAGTAGTGGTGGGCAGCAAACTTATGGGTAAAAGAGGGAGCATATGTCCTCAAAGCTAGCCCCAGGGGTAAGAGGAAGGATATCAGGGGGCTGTTTCACAGGCTTCTGATTGTCATATAATATTAGATCATATCTTCATTCTATTTTTTTAAAAAAATAGATTTTTCAAAAAAAAGGGAAAATCTTAATTTTCCTTTAGCTACTGAGTGTGTTCACACTTAACATTCTTCAAGATTTGGGAGCTGGAAAGGTAGAGAATTGAACCAACATTTTTATGAAGCTCCTCCTATATGTATTCACTTGGTGAACAGTTATTGAACACCTACTAAGTCTCAGGTCCTATGCTAGCAGTTCTCATATGTATTACCCCAGCAATTCTTGTTTTTGTTTTCTTGGTTTTTTTTTTCAAGATCATAAATTAAATATTTTATTTTTACAAGTGAAAATAAAAATTAAAAAAATAAACACTCCCCTTTGGGCTTCCAAATGGTAGGTGCTTCTTTCACTAGTACCACAATATGCTTGTTGTTCATTCTCCTTTCTACCACACTGATTTTGCATCCAAGGAAAGAAGGCCTGGATAGAGGTCATAATAAAAAATAAATAAATAAAATTTAAAAAAAAAAAAAAAAAAACTTTCTCCGCCTAAATCTGAATTCCTGGTGAGAATCTGAAAATCTTCACTAAGAGGTTATTCAGGTCATGGACTGTCATCTGCCTGTGAATCTGGATTTAGAAAGATGATATCTTTTCCCAAGAATCTGTGGCAGACAGGAGTTAACCTAAAAGGCTTGAGGTTTATCCATCGTGCTGACGTGGTCAGTCAAGTAGTGTGATGGCTTTTCAGGCGGTGGGGCCTGCACTGCCACGGGTATCTCGGTTTGTCCAGGAGATGCAGGTCCTTTCACAAGATTCCCATCAGCAATAAGAGACTGGAGACACTCATTCCAACATTGCATGGAGACAGCTATGTCTTGCTGACCCAGACCCTGCCATTGCTGTTTAGGGTCACCAGGCTAAGGCTGAGCCTGATTCTTAAGGCCAGTGTGTTTGTTCCAGCACTGCCAGGCCAGTGTGTTTGTTCCCCTTGTCACCTTGGCATCTTCCTTGGTATGGGGGTCAGAAAGGAGTCTCCATATGTGACAGCCCCACTCATAGAACTGGTACTGTTGACACAGGACTTCTAAGTGTCAAAGGAAGGAGAGAGCTCTCCCTGCACAGCCTGGATAGGCTGAAGCATCATGACCCCTGGTGCCTGGCTCATGCAGCCCCGAGAGGGATCCCAAGGAACCAAGGACATGTAGAATGGGAGAAAAACCAGTACACAGGGCTGTTTTTACTGAAAAACTTGGAAAGAGGAACAGGACCAGAGCTGCGTGGGGCAGTACCCAGGCGGCTTTGCTCCAGCCTCACAGTCACGTGAGGTCTCTGGCCTGGGCCTGCTGCCAGGAAATTCACGGGACCCTTGTACATTACTGGTGGGAATGTAAAATGGTTGAGGTGCCATGAAAAACAGTTTAGCAGTTCTTCAAAAAGTGAAACATAGAAATACCACATGACCCAGCAATTCCACTGCTAGTTATATACCCAAAATAACTAAAACAAGTACAAATACATGCACACACATGTTCACAGCAGCACTATTCACAGCAAGCAAAAGTTGGAAACAGCCCAAATATCCATTAATAAATGAATATATGAGCAAATTGTGGTATTTGTGTATATCTATATATGTATCTTTAATGAATGGTTATTCAGACATAAAAATAAATGAAGTACTGATATATGATAAAACATAGATGAATTTCAAAAAGATATACTAAGTGAAACACACCAGACACAAAAAGTCATATATTGTGTGTATCCATATTATTGGATAAATCCACAGAAACAAAAAGTTGACTGGTGGTGGCCAGGGGCTGGGGGCAGAGGGAAATGAACTACCTAATGAGTAAGGGATTGCAGGGCTTTGGTGTGATGGAAATTTTCAGAGCTAGACAGAGGTGGTGGCTGTACAACACCATGAATGTGCTGAATACCACAGAACTGGCCACTTTAAAATGGTTACGTTTACATTATGTGAATTTTACTTCAATTAATTAATTTTTTAATTATTAAGAGAAAATATTTTTGGCACATATCAAGTCAGTCTGGTAATTTAAATTAAATAAGATGTTAAATGCCAGTTATATTTTAAGGGCAAAATATGGTGAAAGCAGAAAGCAGAGTGTATAGCCTGGTCTCTGACACATGGTAAGTGATTGTAAAAAGGTGAGTTTTATTATTAGATATCTAGGCCTTAGTTTCCTCATCTGTCAAATAGGGTATTTAACCAGAGAGTCTCTAAGATTCTTTCCAATCCTAAAAGGGTTTGGCTTACAGGAAGAACTCCTTAACAAGGTCTCTGAGGCCCTTCATGGACCACCCCTGCCCACACCTCCAGTCTCGCTCACACTGAAGCCATCCTCACAAAATTAATCAAGCTGAATTGCTAAGTTTTTAACAAGAGTGTAAGCTGTAAGTAAAGCATAGCTAAGCATTAACCAGCTTACCCTATAGCCCACTTTCTTATAGCTGCTTATTGCTTAAAAGTCACATAGCCCCTGCCACAAGGTCCTAACTTTTACAGATAACATCTCTAACATTAAAAAAACCTCAAAGTTTCTATTTTGAGATATTTACAAAATCCTGCCTTGTTTTTTTTTCTTTGTTTTTTTTGTTTTGTTTTGTTTTGTTTTGTTTTTGAGGTCTTGCTCTGTCACCTAGGCTGGAGTGCAGTGGTGTGACCTCAGTTCACTGCAGCCTCCACCTCCCAGGCTCAGGTGATCCTCCCACCTCAGCCTCCAGAGTTGCTGGGACTGCAGGCACGTGCTACCATGTCCAGCTAATTTTTTGTTGCCCAGGCTGGTCTGGAGCTCCTGAGCTCAAGCCATCTGCCCACCTCAGCTTCCCAAAGTGCTGGGATTATAGGCGTGAACCACTGCACCCAGCCCCAAATCCTGCATTTCAATGGGTCCACTGTCACCAGCCAGTCTAAAGACTCCGTCCAAAGAAGCAACTCAACATAAGAATGCAGTTTCTTCCTTTCCCTGTCTCATGACTCCACCCCTCACTCCCCGGCCAATAAGCAACCCCCAGCTCCTCCAAATTCCTTTAAATACCCTAGTCCAAGAAACTCCCCAGAAAGGTGGATTTGAGGTTCTCTCCCACCTCCTTGTTTGGCTGCCTTTTGATTATGAAACTTTCTCTGCTACAGTTCCTGCTGTTTTGGTGCATTGTTCCATTACTGCACACACAGCAGACATGAACCTCGTGGTCCTATATAGCACCACGGTGTGACCCAGCTATACTGGCTTTCTTTCAGGTCCTCAAGTGCAGCTTGCCATCTCCCAGCACTGGGCCTTTGCCTGTGCCACTCCCTCTGCCTGGAACACTTGTCCTGCTCTGCCATCTCTGTAATGCTCCTTATCCCTCAGCACCCCGGGCACCTGTGTACCTGGTTTCTGCAGTGCTCTCCATTGTGACAAGGTTCAATTAATTGTGGGAGAATTTGACACCAGACCAGAAGATCTACAATGCAGAAACCCTCTCTTTCTACTTCTGGTATCTCCAGGGCCCAGAGGGGACAGAGCCTAGTCGCTGTGGACCAAACGCATGAGATTTTTTTCAGTGCGTTCCCAGTTCTCACTAGTGTCACCCCACGCTGGCAGGGAGAATATGGACCTTGAGGTCAGACAAGGTTATCCACTAGAGGCCCTGCTCCCATCCCTGCCCCCTCACCCCATTCTAGAACTGTGAGTCCAAATGTCACCTGCCTCCCTCCACCCCCAAGGGTAAAAATAACCTTGTCTGAAACCTGACACCTACCCTCTGCAGGTCATCTTGAGAACTACCCCTGTCCCAGAGGTGACCACCAGGGGCCTGGGGGAGTAGGGAGGGCATTTCCTGAATGCTTTCCCATTCACATCTCATTTGACCCATGAGCAAATATGTGAGGTGCTATCACTGGTGAGGTACACAGGGAACCCACGCTCGGAGACATCTCAAGTCCTGCCTAAGGTCCCCAGCCAGAGCTTGAGCGCAGCCCTTTCCTCGGCACTATGAGGTGAGTAGGGCTTTGCAGACTGATTACACCTGCTTGGTTGTATGGGTGGAGAAACTGAGGCCCAGGGAGCTCTCTGTCTAAGGTCTTAAGTGAAAGGGCTTAATTAGGCATACTTTGGGCAAGTTATTGAGAAGCTGTTTCCTCCTTGGTTAAAGAAGGACAAGCACTCCCACCCAGCTCCATGCAAGAGCTGCATGCCGATGAAAGGAGAGAACCTAAAGGCACCTGGCTAACTGTGCAGTTCTGTGCACACGTGAGGGAGCGGTGTCAAGGAGGCTGGAGAGCACGCAGCAGCTGGGCTGGATGGGGACTTGTCTTTCCTAAACAACCAGACTCTGGCAGCGTTTGTTCTCACTTTGGGAAACGGAAATGTGGGAAGAGGGGTTGCGGGGGGACAGTGGGTTCTTGAGACAGGTAGACTGCATTTGAATCCCAGCCCCACCCTCAGTACGGGGAGGTGGGTGGGGATGGTGGGGAGGTCTCTGGGCAACTTGCTTCCCCTCTCTGTATTCATTCATTCAGCAAGTGAGCAACCCCACCCCCCCGGACCAGTTTCCTCATCTGTAAAATGGGAATCCCAAGTACTTTGCAGACCATCGTGAGGTGCAGAGGAGGGAACGTGAACAGCTTTGTAAGTTGCCATGGTCCTGCCTTCCTTTTATGCCAGCACGTATTGAGAGACTGTCAGGCCTGCAGGGAGCGGGGAGTGTGGGCAAGCCTGAGCCCCGCCCTCACAGAGCCAAGGTCTAGATGGGGAGACAGCCACTGAACAAGAAGTTCCCTAGGAGATCTGCTGTGCCAAGGGGCAGCAGGGCTGCAGAGTGTGAGCAGAGTCTGACCCTGTGTGCAGATGGACAGGAACCTGCAGGACAGGGGTCAGGCTGGGTGGCCCTGGGTTTAGCTCCTCCATATTGTTTGGGCGCTGCCCTGCAGCATGCCCAGAACTAACAACCTAACAGGAGCAAGTGTTTCAACCTCTCCGGACTCAGCTTCCTCAGTTTATAAAACTGAAAGTTGTGGGTGTACAGGTAAGATTGAGAACAATCATTCTCCCTTGTATATTTAATTAATATAGCCAAGCACTGTACTGAACTTTTTTTTTTTTTTTTTGAGATGGAGTTTCTTGTTGCGCAGGCTGGAGTGCAATGGCACAATCTTGGCTCACCACAACCTCCACCTCCTGGGTTCAAGCGATTTTCCTGCCGCAGCCTCCCGAGTAGCTGGGATTACAGGCACGCGCCAGCACGCCCGGCTAATTTTTTTGTATTTAGTAGAGACGGGTTTTCACCATGTTCATCAGGCTGGTCTCGAACTCCTGACCTCAGATAATCCACCCGCTTCGGCCTCCCACAGTGCTGGGATTACACGTGTGAGCCACCATGCCCAGCCACTGTTTTTTTTTTTCTTTTTGGAGACAGTTTCACTCTGTCACCCAGGCTGGAATGCAGTGGCTCCATCTGGGCTCACTGCAACCTCCACCTCCAGGGTTCAAGCTATTCTCCTGCCTTAGCCTCCCAAGTAGCTGGGATTACAGGTGTGTGCCACCATGCCCGGATACTCTTTGTATTTTTAGTAGAGATGGGGTTTCACCATGTTGGCCAGGGTGATCTCGAACTCCTAGCCTCAAGTGATCCTCCTGCCTTGGCCTCCCAAAGTGCTGGGATTACAGGTGTGAGCCACTGTGCCTACCCTGTATTGAATATTTTTATGCATTATCTCTTTTAATCATCACACAGCCTTAATACCTGAATGTTGTTATTATTCCCATTTTACAGATGGGGAAACAAAATCTCAGAAAAGTTAACTTGCACATATACACACACAAAATCACACAGCCAGGAAAGGGCAGAGCTGGGACATCAACCCAAGTCTGCTTACCGCAAAAGCTAAGGCTTCTTGACCACTTTGTACAACTGTCTCTCTCTCATTTGGCAGGCAGTTTGACAGTTGCTGCTGCGTCCCGGGCATCTGTGACAGCCACCGGCCCTTCCTTACCCAGACGTGCCAGGCCAAGACCCACACCTGGAGCCAGGACTTCCAAGAAGCTCCCCACCCCGTGTACCCTCATGTCCTCTGCAGGAGGCCGTGATGGTGCCAGCACCCTTTTCCAGCATGGTCCAGGGTCAAGGCACTTTCCAGAACACTGTCCCACTGGGCCACGGTCAGTGAGGAAATTGCAAACTCTGAAGGAGCTGAAAACTGTGCTTTATAAATCCTCAGCTCTCAGAGTGGGAGGAAACCTCACGTTCAGCTAGATGGGCCCCTCTCAAGTGCAGGAATCTCAGCCGCCACACTACCTCTGGTGGCTGTCCAGCATGAGCTTGTTTGCTCCCAGAAGCAGAGGGCTCACTCCCTTCCAAGGGAGACCCTTCTGCTGAAGAGTAAATCTGCCGGTTCTTCCCTCTGTCCCACTCACTAGCTGCCTCCCTGTGGCTTCCTCCCTTGGGGTTATTTGCCACCTCCCACCCCCTACCTCCAGCAGACCCCAGAAAGTGACCAGAAGCGATTAGAACACAGGCAGTCTGATCCCAAGTATGAATGACCCCCCATTCCCGTGTGACCCCCCTCAGGGGAGCTGCTTTGACAGCACCCAGTACAGAACCCACGTTCACAGGCAGTCACCCCCATGCCACAGGCCCTGACAGTGGGGTGAGCCGTTCTGGGGTTGTGAAGACAGATCCGGCCTCTCCCCTCCTCAGACCCCTTTCCTCCCCTCCCTGCCAGACAGCCAAGGCTGCTGCCTGTGCTGCCTCTGGGTCACCATGGCAACAGGTGGCCAGGCAATGGACCCGGGCCCCGCCATCTTGCAAGCAACTCCATTTACCCTGGAGCTGGGCACAGCAGCTACAGGCATCACAGTTCCCCTTCAAGAGAGAGAATGAGAGAGAGCAGAGGGAAGGGAGAAGAAACCAGAGTCAGAGAGAGAGAAAGGAAAAGCGGCAAAGACAGGAGGGAAGGAACAATGCAGAGGTCAGAGTGAGAGAAAACTAGAGGCTGGCAGGGAACAAAGCTGGTAAAAGAGAGGTGAGCAGGAAGGGAGGAGAGGCTCCAGACCTCTCCCACTGTGCACATTCCTCCTGCCTGAGCTGCGCTTCCCTGGCCAAATTCTGGCTGCAGCCAGGACTTCCTGCCCCAAGAAACCAGCAGCCCAGTGGGCCCCTTCAAGGCCCCAGCGGCTGTTCCAGGGTCTTGCGGGCCCCTCCTGCTGGGGGATGATGTCCTCTTGCTCCCCAGAAAGTGGGGCCCCCTCTCCCAGCCCCTCCAGCAGCACCTCCCCACTCAGCACCCCCCTCACTCCCCCTGGTTCCCAGGGCCCTCCTGCCTGCCCCGGCCTGCCATCCTCTGGCTCTCTTCCTTCCCACCTTACCCAGCTTCCCCTTGCACAACACAACAACATTTTCATTTTCCCAGAAGTGTTCAAGAAAACATTCCTGGGCAGAGCAGAGTGGTGGGAGAGGAGCTGCGATTCTCCTCACTGAATGCAAGCCCTTACACTGCAGGCGTTGCAGAGCAGGTCTCAGAACAAGGTTTAGCAGAGAAACACTGACCAGTGGGGCTGCTTCTAAGCCCCAAGCTGCCAAATCTGGGCATTAGGAGGTCCAGAGCTGAGCACAGCCTAGTCTCTGGCAGAAGCAGCTGCGCTCAGCAGGTGTGCCAGCAACTCTCTACGGGGCACCATCCACACTCCAGATGCCGCCTTCAGCCTCAAGCTCTCTGGCTGCAAAGTAGCCCTATCAGACCTGTCCCAATTCCACTCCCATCCCCATATTTTCCTACACTGTCTCAGAGGAATTTGAGCCTACAAAAAGGTTTATTGAAACAATCAGAAGGGTGAAGAGAAAGAGAGAAGAAAGAAAAAAACAGGATGGCATGGGGGCTGGCAAAGAGGGCAGCAAGGCCCAAGGGCTTCAGACTGTCTGGCCAGATAACCCTAAGCCATTTTACTTAAGCCACTATGAACCTCAATGTCCACATTTGTAAAATGGGAATAAGAATATCATAGTTATCCAGCCTGAGTGACAGAGTGAGACCCTGTCTCTTAAAAAAATAAATAAATAGAGAGAGAGAGAGAGAATATCATAGTTGAGATTCAATGAGGTTATACATGTAGAGTGCTTAGAACAGGATCTGACTCATAGGAAATGCCCAAAACTACAACCCTTCATGTTGTGAAAAAGCCAAGGCAGGCCTGTAACCCAAGCACTTTGGGAGGCCGAGGCAGGCAGATAACTTGAGGCCAGGAGTTCGAGACCAGCCTGGCCAACATGGTGAAACCCTGTCACTACTAAAAATACAAAAAAATTAGCTGGGTGTAGTGGCAGGTGCCTGTAATCCCAGCTACTCGGTAGGCTGAGGCGGGAGAGTCGCTTGAACCTGGGAAGTAGAGGTTGCAGTGAGCCAAGATTATGCCACTGTACTCCAACATGGGCAACAGGGCGAGACTGTCTCAAAAAAAAAAGGCCGGGCATGGTGGCTCACGCCTGTACTCCCACCCAGCACTTTGGGAGGCTGAGGCAGGAGAATCGCTTGAACCCAGGAGGTGGAGGTTGTAGTGATCTGAGATCACTCCACTGCAGTCCAGCCTGGGTGACAGAGCGAGACTCCGTCTCAAAAAATAAAAAGAGCAAGGTGTTGTAGAAAGACCCAGGAAACTATTCCAGTGAGGAAGGGCCTAAACAGGTCCCAAGGGTAAGTGCTGTGACTGGCCAGATGGCCTTTGCAGAGCAGTGAGGGTCAGATGGAGCCTTTCAGCCCTGGGCTATGACAATGGCATCTGCTTTCCCTCCTGGCACTGCAGGTGAACACATCCTCTCTACCAAGACAGAATTCACTGGTTCGCGGTTCATTTCAACCGACAATCAAGATGTTGAATAGGACAGAGTCTGTGGCACTCCACGAAGACTCCCACAGACGCCCACATATGGTCTAACCAGACTCCACGACTGCTGGGAAGCCTTTGCATTTCGCAGACCCCCGAGAGGCTCAAGACACCTCATGAGGGAAATGGATTCTTGGGATAGAAGGCAACGATCACTAGAAAGCAGCTCGGGTTCACTGAGAACAAGGCATGCTGGGCACACAGGAGCAGACCGTTGGGTTAGGAATGGACATATTTGCATTTGCATAGACCCAGAACATTATAAGTGCTCAGTAAAAATGTGTTCAATGGAACCTGGGAGCTGTCTCCAACTATGTACCACATGTGCCTGCTCCATTCAACATGTGATCAAATGGCTTACCTGAAGATGCACCTGATCCTAGATGACCACTTGAAAGGTTGTAAAATATAAACTTAAAACCAAGCAGATGAAAATGAAAAAGACTCATTCTATCAACCTGCATTTAGGCTTTTCTGTTGCTATCACTTTTTAAGTTGTACGCATGCTGGGGTGGCTCCAGTTTAATAGTTGTTTATGGGAAAACAGCCTTATTATTTCATCTGTCCACACACTTAACAATGACAATTCCTGCTGTAACCAAATGGGCACCCTGTGGCTGCTGAAGGCTTCACCCTGTGGTGAGGGGTTGGGAGGCGAAGGGGGTGAATTTAGGGAAGGAATGACTCAGTCGCAGGGAGGAGACAGCCCAAGACTGGCATTTGGCAGGCAGCATGAGGCCCAGTCCTGTGAAAGGGAAAACAGAGGGAACAAGGAGTGGCTTAGGATGACAACCAGGCTGTCAGAGGGACAGTGAGTGGGCCAGGCTGCGTGTGGCCTGGGTGTCAGGCCTCTGGCTGCAAATCCGAAGGCTGGCTGGATTAGAGGACAGAAAGAGGCCTAGTAAAGTGTAAAACCAAGACCTCAAAGGGGTGGACAAGGTTTGGAAGGGGCTGATTCTAGCTGGGAATCAACATAGATCTTTTTAAAAACTCCCACTGCCAGACACAGTGGCTCATGCCTGTAATCCCAGCACTTTCAGAGGCTGAGGTGGGTGGATCACTTGAGGTCGGGAGTTGGAGACCATTCTGACCAATATAAAGAAACCCCATCTGTACTAATGATACAAAATCAGCCAGGCATGATGGTGCGCACCTGTAGTCCCAGCTACTTGGGAAGCTGAGGCAAGAGAATTGCTTGAACCTGGGAGGTGGAGGTTGCAGTGAGCCGAGGTCACGCCATTGCACTCCAGCCTGGGCAACAGGAGCAAAACTCTGTCTCAAAAAAAAAAAAAAAAGAAAGAAAAGGTGCTGGGAACACCTTAAACAGACATAGTGTCTTCTCACATGAACAGACAATAAACAAAAGAGGAACAAGAAGAGTGAAAAGTCCTATGAGAAAGAAAAAATGGGATGTGACAGAGAGAAGGTGGTGGACGGGGAGGAGCTTCTTTAGGCTGTGTAATCAAGGAGGCTTCCTGGCTAGGATCCGAAGGAATGACGAGAAGGAGCAATTTCACAAGACTGTGTGCAGGGTTGCGGGCAAAAGAACAGAGAGTGCAAAAACCCCAAGGAAGCGTGGGGACCCGCTGTCAGAGGAAGAACGAGGAGGTGTTGGGAGAGAAGCACCTAAGAAATGCAGAGAGCAGACAGGGCGCCTATCCCTTAAGGTCTTGTAGGTCCCAGTGGAGCTTGGATTTTATTCCAAGTGTGAGGGGAAGAACTGGAGGCTGTAGGGGAGGGTGGTGGTCTGGCCTGCATTGTAAGATCACTCTGCTGTTGTGTGGAGGTGAACTTTAGGATGGAGAGAAGCAGCAGGCAGACTCCTCAGCAGGCCACCGCAGTCAGGGGAGAGGGCTGGCTGGGCAAAGAGGTGGAGCCAGGATGTATTTGGGAGGTAGAGGCAACAGGACTTGCTGAAGGACTCCACGTGTGTGAGAAGGGACGGGGTGGTGCCGGTTGGAGTGGGTGGTTGAGGGAAGCAGCAGCTACAGCTGCGGGCAGTGTAGAGGGAGGGATTGCGAGGGGTTAGGGGACTTGGTGGTGGAGATGATGGGAGGCAGTAGGCAGGATAAAAATTAGGAAAAAAAGGCCAGGCACAGTGGCTCACGCCTGTAATCCCAGCACTTTGGGAGGCTGAGGCGGGCGGATCACCTGATGTTCAGAGTCCAAGACCACCCTGGCCAACATGGTGAAACCCTATCTCTACTAAAAACACAAAAATTAGCTGAGTGTGGTGGTGGGTGCCTGTAATCCCAGCTCCTCCAGAGGCTGAGGCAGGAGAATCACTTGAACCTGAGAGGCAGAGGTTGCAGTGAGCCTAGATCGCGCCATTGCACTCCAGCCTAGGAGACAGAGTGAGACTCCATCACAAAAAATAAATAAATAGGAAAAAAGTAAAAATAAATAAATAAGAAAGGAGGATCCAAGCTTAGAATGAGTGACTGGCAGATGGTGGTACTGGTTACTGAGTTGGGGGAGATCAGTGTAGAAATAAGTAGGGGACAAGAATTTGTGAGATCCTATTGAACATTTAAAGA